TAAGAAAAGACAAAAATATAATAAAGCACGGGTTAAACCCATCTTTGCTCTCATTGAATGGCAGATTCCATGATTCCAGTAGCTTGCAGCTAGTAGTTTGCATAGACTGTAAGTCACCAGGAATGTAGAGCATTTGTCTTAACTTTCTTACTCTTCTCTCACTATAATTTTTTTTTCCAGTAGTGGTCTATTAAATACTTTTAAGAGAACCTTTTACGCCACTATTGCGACCAATAAGAAGTAAGTAATCTTTTATTATCTTAATCTGAGTAGCTAGGTTGTTCCTAATATTATTACGTGTTTTTTTGGCACCGAAGGCGTTTGTTAGTGCTTCGCTTATCTAGCTTGAGCCATATAGCCGTACGGAAATACCGAGCGGCCGAAACGTTGACTCATACTGAGTAATATCAATTATGCTGCGGCTGCTAATAGACAGTTTAGTACCATGGAGATGTTCTAGGCTTAGAGTCACCACACAAGTTTCAAAAGAGACAGTGCTTTGGAAATTTACGTGAGCTTCATTTCATATAGAGCATGTAAAATGTGGCTCAGTGGCTATTCATTAGAGGATAATTTGGCAAAGATGAATGAAAAGTAACTTGAACTGAAAAATTACTAAAAGCTCTACTTTTCTCAAAAGAGTAACATCTTTATTCCTTCTTTATAAGAAGCTCCCTTTAGTATTTGTTCCTCTTGTGTGAGTTGATATTATCTTTGCAATCGTTTCTCTGTCTGATAAACTGTTGCTTATATGCAGCATATTTTGACAGCGTATTGTGTAATCGAGGGATAGTTATCTAAATGCGATGAGACGCTATCGATGCTGGAACATACTGGATACCTATGGTTGATGGAAGAAGAAAATGCAATCTGGATATTCAAAATGTGATTGGTATCTCAAACTCTAATAAAAATCTTATTCCTGTTGGAGTGCTATACTTTTTTGACCTACCTATTGAGCAATTCGATTTGAAAGGAGATGTAGCTCGAATACTTCGATCTAACAATGAAGCTACAGATGACGATGGCTGGATGTGGCTCAATTTAGACCTTTTGGTACATAGAGTAAAAGGCAAGGTTAGTGAATTTGTTGACGAGCTTCATTTCTTAATAAAGTTTAGATATATCGTGGGTACCTACAAGCTCATGAAACTTTTTCTCCTTGATAATAAGTGGGTGGTAATTGCGGTGGTTAGGATTTACTCAATTCCTTCAGATGTTTCTGGCTCAAGATATTTTAAGCAATGGAGGGGATCATTTCCCAAAAATTTTGAAATTGAAAAAAAATATAGATCTTGCTGGTTCAATTTAATTGCAAAATTAGATTTCTCTGATGATAGTTGGCATGCCAGACGAGCTAACTCTACCTTTTTTGAGTTTTGTCACAATTTGAAAGCTGTTTTACCTTTCTTCTCCACCAAATACTACAAATTCAGCGAAATTTCGACCAATGAGTTAAATTATCATATTGATAGATGGACAAAAAATGAACCTTTCACGTTCTATCCGAAAAAAATAGATGAAGGCATAGAAGCCCTCAGTTCAAAAATCCAAAACATATATAGCGCTATAAAACCACCAGATGTATCACATTCTTTGACTCAATCAAGAAGTGTGGATCCATTGATACCTTCTGCTAATGATGTCATTGGCCAGCTAGTACAAAAGAAAAGCAATGCACGAATACCTGGCTTAAAGTCAGAATTATATTCTTTTCAGGTGATCTCGTTGGCTAAAATGTTTGAGAAGGAATCGTTCTTGGAGAAAAGTCTTTTACCGAACCTCATTCAATTGAAGTCCCCCTCATATTCTAAAAACTACTACTTCGATGTTTTGTCTAGCAGGCTACTTGAAGAACCTGAGCTTTTCACTCTTCCTAGAGGTGGAATTCTTGCAGAGAATATGGGTCTTGGTAAAACAATAATTTGTTTGAGCTTGGTCTGCCTAACTAAATGTGAGGTGTCAAATGTACCAGATGATTTGATTCTCTTTTCTGATCCAACAACTGTCATTAAAGAGCAAGAAAATGGAATATTTGTTGAAGGATCAAGAAGAAATAAAATGTTGAAATTGGCTGAACTTTGTCAACATCATATAAATCGAAATTCATTGCCGTGGAAATATTACACTGATTATTTACCTAGCTCAGTTATAGCTAGACTAGCTAACTCTCCAGGCTTCTTCAGAGTCTCTTTGGATAATTTTGAGGAACTGTCAAAGTTTAGTTTAAGGACGAGAAAAGTTTCTTCAAGAGCCAAGGAATTGAACAAAAATTTACCACAAGAAAATAGAAACTATAGAACTCTTTATCTATGCAATACGACTTTGATAATAGTCCCAGATAACTTGTTTCATCAATGGATCAATGAGTTGAAAAAACATGTCGATCAAAGTTATTTAAATAAGCTTTTTGTTTCTAACCAATTCAAGAAGACTCATGTTAAAGACTTTTCTTGCTATACGAGTGAATTAAATAGCAACCCATTGGATTTAATTAAATATGACTTAATTGTCATATCAAGCTCGCTACTTGCTATGCAATTTGATAAACTTCACGAAAATAGTCCACTTCTAAAGGTATACTGGAAAAGACTAATAATAGATGAAGGTCATAGCATTAGTTCCAAACGATCTAGAATTAGCTTGCTCTGCAAAAATTTGTATTCTGAACGGAGGTGGTCTGTCACAGGTACCCCTACATCTGGACTAACTAAATTGCATATGGATGAAGAGCAGTCGGAACAACTCGTACCTGTGAGTCCTAAGAAACAAAAAAAATATATTGTGCAGCATAAATTCAATGGCAGGGATGATCTCGTCAAGCTAGGGACTATCATAAGCAATTTTCTCAAAATAGAGCCTTTTCATTCTCAACAGAAATTGTGGTCTAGTTCAGTCATAAATCCATTAATATCTAATGCTTACGGATCCACTATTGGTCTAACTAATCTTCTTAACTCGATAATGATTAGACATAACCCAGGAGACATTGAACATGATTTAACATTGCCACGGTTACATCATGAGGCAGTTTTCTTGGAGCCATCGTACCATAACAAGCTCTCAATTAATTTGTTCACGGCTGTCTTGGCGGTAAATGCTGTGTCTTCCGAACGTACAGACGTAGATTATATGTTCCATCCTTCTAATCGACAACAATTAAGGAGGTTAATCACAAATTTACAGAGAGCTACTTTTCACTGGACTGGGTTTAAGCAGCAAGATGTTGAAACCTTATTGCATATTTGTAATTTTTGTTTGCAAAAAAGAAAAGCCACAGGCGCATCTGTTTATAGTGATTATGACATTTCTTTGTTGAAAAATTCAATCGAGGCATCCAAAATGGCATTAGGTAACCCGCAATGGCGAACCGTCGCTTTATTACATGAAATGCCTTATTATATATCTAATTTACCCGATGTTTTCACTAAATCATTTGGAATTGGTGTCGTTGAGTCTACCAATGACAGAGGATACCATGATGATATAAGTGTCTTTGGTGCACCGCATTTAAACGCTGTTCAAGAGTTTTTTTATAAAAATAGATTTATGGATATGAATGATGAGGAAAAATTGAAGTTGAAGCTAGATGTAGCATCGAAACCGTTTTGGGATTCTTATTGGAAGTATACCTTCAAAAAGAATTTCGAAAAATTCAATAAGCAGGATAAGAATCAAGACTTCAGATCAGATGTGAAAAGTGAAGATGTGTCGAATGCAATTCACAACCCAAGCGTACTCCTTCCCACTAATGACAAGTTTTTATTCTCAACCTCTAGGAAGAATGTGAAAGAAAAAAACTTGGAGAATCCGAAAGATAAACTCACTAGTGATCAATATGTTGGGCTTAGGTCTACTGAAGATATAGTGACAAATCGTTCTTTATCTTCTCATAATATTTCATTTGATTCAATCAAAAGGGCAATTATTCTAGGTACTGCTTCTGCAAAATTATCATACTTAGGTAGCAGGTTACTTGAACATCAAGAGACGAATGTCAAATCAATTGTCTTTTTTGAATTTGAAGATAGCGCATATTATTTGACAGAGTTACTTGATGCTTTAGGAATAAATTATATTCTTTATGCTACCTTCATTAGCCCTAGCCAAAGAGCAAATAATCTATCAGAATACAGTAATCATCCTAATGAAGAGGGGGGTCTCACTTTGGTCATGGATCTCCGATTAGCTGCCCATGGTCTCACAATACTAGCTGCGACTAGAGTCTACTTCATCAGTCCTGTATGGCAGAGATCTATAGAAGCTCAGGCGATAAAGAGAGCCCATAGAATTGGTCAAAAAAATGAGATCTTTGTAGAGACCTTGGTTTTGAAAGGCACTCTTGAAGAGGAAATTTATAAGAAACGATCATCCGGTAGTGATTCCTTAAAAGGGGAGCAAAAATATGTTATTGACGATACTGGAATGCAAGACTTTATTCTTAAGCATGAGTTTTTACGTCATGAAATTAATGAGCCAGAGTATGAGCCTTTTGTCGCGACAGCTTCAAAGATAACTGAAGATCTCAAATCAGAAAATAATGAGCATGACGAGTTTGGTCTTATGAAGCATTCGAGCTCCATACTTGATAACAATACAATCAAAAGGGAGTGGGAAGTGTATTTATTTAGCGAACAGAACTTAGCTAAAATGAATAGAGCCAAAAATCAAAAGGTCTACAAAGAGTATGCAAAAGAAGAATTCATTCGTGATATAGTCAGCTCCGGGCCAGATAAAAATACGATTGAACCTATGAAAAGACATCAAGAAGACAAATATCGAGCAAATGTTAAAAGAGTCAAATTTTGAATATGCTCAGACAATTTCTCTGACAATGATATTACCATCAGTAGATCCAGATGCAAGTATTTTCTTAGATGGGTGATAATCAACGTCTATAACTGTCCCATTATGTCCATGTAGTTTATTTATTATTTTACGAGACTTGATGTCCCAGGTGGTCACGGTCAGGTCTTCTGAGCCCGATGAAATATTGATATTATCAGGACTAAAAGTAGCCCTGATCAATTGAAACTCGCTACCTGATATAGCTCCTTCATAAGTATAAGGACTTAACCTGGACAATCCAGATGGAACGAAATCTCTAGCACTATAAGTACGAATAACACCATCCATGGATCTAGATAGAAGCATAGAGTCGTCTTTAGTAATACTAATCGACGTAATAGATTCAAGTTGGCCCTCGCATTCCCATAAAGGCTCTGTGTACTTTCTTATATCAAACGCTCTCAAAGTTGGATCTATCCCACTGACAAAAAACAGATTACCTTGGTTGCTAAATGAGCATGATAGCAATGGATAATCGTTATGTACTCCCTCTAAAGGTAATTTTTCTCTTTGATCCCAGATAAATGCAATTCCGTCATCGCCGACACTTAAAGCTAGTCCATCACAATTCACGTCTATATCATTCACTATCGCTTTATGACCAGTTCCCTTCTTTATTCTCGTTCCAGTATTGTGGTCCCAATATCCAACAGTATGGTCCGCACTTGCTGATACCAATAAATTTTCATCATACCATCGCACAGCGAGGACGCTTGATTTATGCCCACTTAAGACCCCGTAATTGGGGCTGTCATCATATTCATCAACTGGAAGGTTCCAAAGAAGTATCTTCGAGTCAAAGCCACCAGATGCCAAGCGGGATCCATCTTTACTGAACTTAGTTGCAAGCACTGAACCCTCATGTCCTTCTAAGATTACAGCATCGCTATATAAGGTTTTATTCTGGTCTTCATTTTGGTTTCCATTAAGGTTTATTAAATCACCTACCTCATTGGTAGTCCTTTGTCTCTTGACTAGGGCCATGTTATTATATAATGAAACTAAGAGCGTTCACTAATCTTGACCAGATGAGCATTTACAATCTATTTTATTTTGATCCTGTTTATAAGACGTGCATATATTAATTACTTCACTATAGATCTAAGCTAAATATTCGTAGGTATCATTATTGACACGGCGAATGTACTCCTTTTCAATCAAATGGTCTATAACCCTTTTGATGTCAATTACCTTAGCGCGGAATCTTGAAAGTGATTGGGTTAATACTTCATTTAAAAGATCATTATGTTTCATCTCCTTTCTTGCCTTCATAATTCTAACAATACAAGCTGAAAGGAAGTTCTTACGTGATTCATCAATCTCTTTACTGGCATCCTCCTCTTCCTGTTTTTGCTCGGTTTTTATTGAGCTGACAAAGTTTACTCTCAACTTTTTAGACTTATATTCTTCAACTATAGTGAAGGTGGTGTCAGGCTTGTTAAAATTCTCGGATCCAAGAGGAGCCTGGTCAAGTAACTTGTACTTGTTGAAGGGCAATAGATGTGCCTCGAATATGTGCTGGGAAACTCCCAATGTATCTAGCAACTCCTTGAAAGTATAGGTATTTTTCTTATTGAATGCGAGTAAAATCATTAATTGAGTGTTAGTAACAGTAAAAAGAAAAGGAGGTTTACCCTTTCTCGAAAGATTTGCCTTCACCTCAGCCCGCCCATGGTTCCACAACCATTGGAGCTCTCTTCCATTATGTTTCTTTCCATATATTTCAGTGACTTTCATGAAAGACGGTTGCAATTCTGGTGCTATTTTCAAACTATAATCCTCCAGTTGTTTGAAGGGCCACATGCTTTGAGCCAAAATTAATGGCGTGAATTCTTTAACAGAGGAAGTAGTGAGATCTTCCTTAACATTATTTTTCAAATCCTCAGAAGCCTTCATATCCGAGAACATTTTGGTCATCTTTGAAGTATATTCTAAAGAATTTTCCTCTTGGAGCTTTTGAATAATACTTTCTTCTAATTCTTCGGATTTGCTATTACCATTAATGAGCCTTTTAGCTAATAATCTTCGATAATGTTCTTCAAATGCATCCTTGTCTTCAATGAATTTGAAAACTATCATTAACTTATCAGGGGTCATATCATCTATGTCTCCTTCCTTTGACGAAGTCTTCAAGAAGCTGTCAGCATACCTCGCTAAATAGTCTGGTGTTCGACAACTGGACTTTGGGCTTGGAGTTGCAATGGAGTTCTTGTTAACAAAGTAATGACATGCATTATCCAATGACTTAATGAAAATAGGGTCCTTATTGAATGCTTTGATGACAATCTCGTTGAACTGACCATATATAGAAATCAATGTGTGAATATATATCTTTGGATTAACGGCACTGACAGGGGACTTTCTTTTAGCCTCCGCAGATTTTGGTACTTCCTCTACGTTGTCACTCGATCTCTTAATCTCATCCAAAGCTTTGTTTGCCTGGTCCTTTATATAGCTTTCAAAAGTATCTGCCAATGGCTGTAACGTTGCTGGTACCCTTGATAACAACTTGTGCATTCTTTGGATGTGTTCTGTTTCATTTTGTTCCAACAAAGCTAAAAATTGATTGTACATTTCTTGAGCATGATCTTGAATGAGAGATTTATTCAACGTTTCCAATAAAAATTTCTTCGTATGATCTTCTAAATAATTGTTGGATCTTGATACTTCTTCAGTAAGTCTTGTTTCACATTTTTTCATATAGTCAACGACATTATTCTGAGAGAGAAATTTGCTGCTCTCTTTACCATAGTATTCCAGCGTTTTCTCTAAAAATTTATGTTCAAAGTACTTAATATAAACAACTAAGTTTGGTTTCTTTAAATCTTGCACATCAATACCTAAAAAGACTAAAGATTTGATAGCAGTAGAAACCAATGACGTATCTACGACCTCGTTGTTTCTTTGCTTTTCAATTTGAATTAATACTTGGTCCATGAGAATCTCTGCATTATCATTAAACATCTCAGTTTTCCATTTTAGTAAAGCTAATGTGTTAACATCAAACACATCCCTTCTTCCATCAGATCTTTCTTTTTGAACCCAGTATCGATTTAAATAGTCAAATACATTATTAAGGTATACAGCACCTATTGTGTATCTTCTCCATTTTCGCACATAGAATTCCAAAAAAGATTCCAGAGGGTCTTGCTTGAGGTCCTTTATGAACGAAACTAAGTAGTTGTCTAGCTTTGCATAAATTTCTGCTCCTGCTAGCGAGTAGGAGTTGTTTCCCGATGTAGTAGCAGGAGAACTGGGAGTCTGACGCGATTTTTTGACACAGTAGTTAAAAATAGCCGTATAACAATTCATATACATCTTAGAGGTAATACCTTGATCATCTTGGGCTCCCAATATAAATTCCAAACCTGGCTGAATGAAAGACCACGTAGCATTCAAATCGCTAGCTACAGGAAATGACATAGTTGTTGTCCCTTCAGTATTACTTAACTTTCAAGAGTGCCACTCACCAACTATCCAGCCGCTATAACTTTTTCCAGTTGAATCTATTAAATGCAAGGATGCTTCCTTTTGTTTAGCAATCACGAATTGGATATACTGTTCTAGCCAATATAATTAGGCGATTTGCTAAGAAGTCTCTATCAATGCAATGCTTTCTCTCTGTGAGTGCTCAACTTAGATTTTGGCTCTCATTATATTTGGTGATTTGTAAGAGGCACGACTCAAATGTTTATAATGCCCTATCAACGTATATCACAGGGGAACAAGAGCCATAAATGACAGACATAAAGTACAAAATGTAGCAATCAATGAATTATGTTTTAAAAGTATGATACGATATAGATAGTCTTATAACTACATATTTTTAGGATTCGTTGTGTTGACTCTCTCAATTACTCTTATTATACTGATAGTAAAAGTGAGAACCCACAAGCACAAGACCAAGAATAAAAAGGATGCTAAAGCTCTTTGACGACGACAGATTGAAGACACTGTCAGAGTAAATATTCCCTTGACATATATGTTTTGATCGTCAAAAACTTCACAAACCCATTCTCGATCAAAAAGGGTGTTGAATGCAAGTGATAAGTTTGCTGACGAGAAGATGATGAACAAAAGATCCAACATAAGTAGCTTCATTTTTCCCAGAGGATCTCTTAGACCAAGGGGCTTCCCATGATACTCGTCGTATGCAATATAGACAACGTAAACAATCGCGATACATTGCACCACTATAGCCATAATTGTGCTCGCTTGTTGCTCTAGTTTCGTATCTCCATGTCGACGTTGTGAATTCACAAATATGGTACAAGCCAATGCCAATGCACACAATGAAAATATTGCTATGAGGATTCTTAAAAACAAAGGGACTAAAGGGTTCTGTACAAAGAGTCTTTTCAAAGTTGGTAAAATGTCTGCTCTTTTCTCATCGGACATCCAGTATCCTGCCTTCGATCTGACCTTCGGAGAATCAGAATCCTTACTATTCTCTTTTGATCGATGATATAAGAGCTTCGAAAAAAATCCACTTCTGTCGTCTTTCACTAGAGTGTCTTCATCGCTTGAGGCAGATCCTAAAAGAGCCATCTTTAATCTATCGTCTCCTCCCCATGAATCGTTTAATTTCCATGTTGATGTGAATTTTTCATCAAAATTTATAACGTCTTTAGGATATGTGATAGGCTGTTGGACAGAATGCAAAAAGTTGTGCCAATTATTATTCATAGACTTAACGAAAGGATCATTAGCAAAACTATAAAACTGATCTTCATCATTTACTTTTGAGTGCGCAGCTCTTATTGTAGCTGTACTGTCTGTCGAATTAGCATTAACATTAGTATTATTAAGCTGATCTTTATAGTGAGCTTGACTTAAAGCATCTAATACATATGGAGGCACTATATTCGGCTTGTGACTGTAAGAATTAACCTTAGCATTATTTAAGGCAGACAGTGCCACTTTCTCGTCTTCTGAGCCAACACTGGAATTAAGCAACCTATTCTTCGCCGAAGTGTTCGACGTAGGTGTCCGTGCTGATTCCTCGGACATGCGGTGCAAATATGATGCTCTTGACAAGTGGAACTATATGTTAGCATCTGAATTAATAGGAGTCACAAATGAGACCGCAATATAGTATGTTCCTGTATAGAATATAAAGAAAAACAGATAGAATTGCACACGGCAATAACAAGCTACACAGAAGCTTTCGTGCGACTGGTCACAAATATTTCGGTCGGTTCGAATATCTGTTTGAGAACGCATCGAGATAGGTTTTACTGTGCTCCAAATTTCTAAAATCGAAAATCTACGGTTTATCATGCGATTAAGCTGGATAAAAGTAGAAATCTCCTTCACTAATGACTCGGATTCTGTGAGAGCTAGTCATGGCCCGATGCACTACTGATACTTGTTCGCTAAAATGTCAATTCTTTTATTGTTTTCATGCAAAACTGTAGATCATTCAACAAGCAGAAGAGCCACAGAGATAGTCAATTTCCTTGAACTAGTCTAATATTTCCTCTTCTCCGAAAAGTAAGATAAATTGACCTACTATATAGGGTAACAAATGATTTATTAATTGAAAGCAACGAGTTCGACTCAACGCTTTATTTGCCATCTCATTCTACTTAAAAAAGTAAGAAAGTCAATAGAATACAAGCCTTTAATATGGTCGAATGAATTTACAATTCGTTCAGAGTGTTTGCTGATTTTGAGTATCCGATTAGATCTTATCTCTACTGAACTTTAACGGCAACCCGCAAGATAAATTGCGCAAAAAATGGCCGCAATTCTTCATTCTCCATTGGGGAATGCGATAGCGTGATAATGTATATACAGGAGAAATAGGTATGTTTCGATTAAGCAAGTATGATCTCAGAACAATAAGAACACACTCGCAGATTATGTTCAACATCTTTGGTTAACAATAGGGCTTCATTACACTAATCAGAAATCTGTCTTATCAACGCTATCTAAAAATGCCAAGAGCTTTATCTTCTAAAAACTATTAAATAAAGATGTTCCCTTAGCTGAACTCTTTACCATTGTTTGCAGCAACTCAGTGTCTGATACTAAATCGATATCATCTTTTGAAATGACTAGATCATTAAGTGAAAAGCAGGAACATGACGTTCAAATTGAACCTATAAAGTCTTTCACGAATGAGAACATAAAGCATGATGATGTGATTGCTACCATACTCTCGGTCGAGGGTAAAGAAGTTAACTTAACAGGCGATGTTGATGAGGCGATGCAATTAGCTTTGAAGGCCGATCATATCCATATAGATGAAGAAACAAATAAGAGATTACTCAGGAAAACTGATCTCTATTTGATGCCGTTACTATGCTTTCTCTACTCGTGTCAGTTCATGGACAAAGTTTCCAATTCTTACGCTGCTGTGATGGGCTTAAGAACTGACTTGAATATGGTTGGAGATATGTATTCTTGGTGTGGATCGGCATTCTACCTTGGTTATTTGTTTTTTGAATTCCCTGCCTCTGCCTTGCTACAAAGGTTTCCTGTCTCAAAGGCAGTTTCCTGCTTTATTGTAATTTGGGGAATAGTACTCTGTTTACACTCTGCTCCGAATTATGCGGGATTCATCTTTTTGAGAACTGTTTTAGGTATGTTGGAATCTGCTGTTACTCCAGCTATGGTTATCATCACAGGACAATGGTATAAGGCTGAGGAACAATTTACTAGAACGTCTATCTGGTTTTCTTTCAATGGATTTGGTACTATCATGGGATCAGCTATTGCCTACGGCTTAGCCATAAGAGCAGAATCATATTCTATTGAAGCTTGGAAGATATTATTCATTGTTACCGGATTGATGACTATAGTTGTTGGTATTGCCTTCTATATTCATATCCCAGATAGTCCAGCTACTGCTTGGTTTTTAACTGAAGAAGAAAAGCTTTTGGTCGTTGAGAGAATTAGATCCAATCAGCAAGGTTTTGGTAACAAACATTTCAAAATGCATCAATTAAGAGAAGCACTCACAGATCAAGTCACCTGGTTGTATTTTTTCTTCGGATTAGCTAGTGATATTCCTAATGGTTCTCTAACAAACTTTGGAAGTATATTATTATCGGAGGACTTTGGATACTCGGCTACAGAGTCTCTATTAATGAATATGCCAACGGGTGCTGTGGAGGTGGTTGGCTGTACTCTTTTTGGGTTGTTGCAGAGATATGTCCCTCATCGTATGTTCATTGCGATATTTGCAACTGTGGTTACGTTAGCTTCAGCGTGCATGTTAGCATTTGCAAGTGAATCTAAGAATGCGAGATTAGGAGGTTATTACTTAATGACAGTTTCACCGGTGGGAATGATTTGCGCATTGTCCTGCTTTTCTTCAAATACTGCAGGACATACAAAGAAGCTCGTCGCTAACGCTATCTTTTTAATAGGATATTGTGTCGGAAATTTGATAGGTCCTCAAACATTTATAGCTGCCCAGGCACCATCTTATACGGGTGGTAAGGTTAGCATTGTAGTTTGTTATGCTGCTTCCTTGGTGTTGTTGGTATGGATATATGCTGTTTATTACTTCGAGAACAAAAAGAGAGATAAACTAAGAGAAAATATGGGTGATTCATACGTAAAAATAGAGAATTCTGAGTTTGCTGACTTAACGGACAAAGAAAACCCTGATTTCAGATACCGCCTTTAAATAGCTACAAACGAACATCGTATTCTTATAGATATTATTGAATTTATATTTTGATTAAAAGATCTCGTCCTTTATTTTTTTGGGCGCATCTACCCCATAAACTACTGCACAAAGGTATGCACCAGTTTGCAATAAGCTTATGTTACATGCTGTCTTTTAACTGTAGTTTTCTGCTTATTGGATACATGGTAATGTATCCTAGCCCTCTATTTGTTAAGTTCTAAGCGAAGACACAAGCACAGAAGGTTTACTAGAAGTAATACTCTCTAGAATATCATGGAATTTTGCAGCCGATTTATGACCTCAATCTGAGTGGCACTACGACAATAATGGAACTTATCTTAGCAGCCACCTCTGTTTTCAGTGAATTTTATTTGGAAGTTCGTCGTCCAATAAGCCCATTGCCGGTAATTAGAAACTTTCTGCTCCTTTTCAGGTACATCAATTGATAAATAGTAGCTGAAGCTTACATATTATGCTTTTTTCTAAAATTTTCAAGTTAGATTAACTTTGATAGAATTTTTTATTATTCGGTCCTGAAGATCAAACGTGTGTATTTTAAACCTTGATGTTTTTTCGGTTATCACTAACTTCAATTACAATTTTGTGTTTGTCATTAACTGTATCGTGACTTCCTTTTTTCGAAGTCTCCAAAAAATCTAAATTTGCAAATTAGTCATTGTTCACTCTTGACTGCATTAACACCAAAAATGGAGCAAGACGATCACATTTCAAACGACGCCAATGCTATAAGCTCTCCTTCCCTGAAATATGTCCCTTTTAAGGTCTCTGATATTAAGAAGTCGCTTCTATCAAATAAAGATGGTTTGTTGGTCCTTATTTCAGGTTTCATTTGCAATTTTATGGTTTTTGGGATAGGATTTACCTACGGTGTGTTTCAAGAGTATTATACATCGAGCAATGGTCCATTGAGTCTGTATTCTGATTCTAAGGTGGCTATAATAGGCACCTTATCTACGGGTCTCACATATATATTCGGAATTTTCAACAAGTCGTTGATGAAATATTCTAGTCCTAAAACAGTCATGTTCGTGGGAAGCATAATAATGTCATTGGGATTAATTTTAGCGGGCTTTTGCAATCATATATATCAATTCATCTTGACTCAAGGTGTGATGTTTGGAATTGGATCGAGCCTTGTATACTTACCACCAGTGGTCTGTGCACCTCCATTTTTTACACAACACAGGGCAATTGCAATGGGATTTTTGTTCAGTGGAACAGGGTTTGGTTCTTTAGCTATCTCCTCTTTAAGCAGGTTTTTAATTGCAGCAATCGGCTGGAGGTGGTGCTTAAGAGTTCTTGGACTTATCAACTTAATCTTCACGATCTTTGCTAGCTTTATTGTGGTGGTACCGGAGGGAATGAATTTTAAAGAAGGAAATAAAGTAATTAGCTTGGGCCAATTGAAATCATGGAAGGCTATCTTTATATGCCTAGGAGGGTTGTTTCAATCCGCGGGATATTTGATTCCCTTAATCTATATGTCAAAGATGGCCAAAACTTTAAATTTCACCAATAGCCAGGGTGCCTTGTTTATTGGTGTTAATAACGGTGTTAATGCTATCTTCAAAATTATTTTAGGCTACGCGGGAGACAAGCTTGGACGAATGAACACGATTATAGCTTGCAGCGTTGTGAGTGCTGTAACCATCTTAGGATTATTGGGTACAGTATCTAGAGACAGTTACATCTCCTTCGTCGTGTTTTATGGAGTTTTCTCCGGGGTTATCGTGTCCTTGCTACCAACTTGCTTGGTGGAATTGTTTGGAATTGCGAATTATCAGGCAATGAGTGGCTTGATGTACTTTAGTAGGGGCATCGGTAATATGTTAGGATCGCCATTGGCCGGTCTAATGATTTCGAACGACGGTTTAAGTTTTACTGATTATAAGTTTCCTATATTATACAATGGTCTCTTATTAGTAGCTAGTGCGTCATGCTTAGCTGTTCTCAGAGTTGTGGTGAGTGCCGAGAGACAAGTAACAGGGTGGAAATTTTAGATTATTCATTCAAGCCCAATGCTTTATATTAGAATAATTATTACAAGCTTCACTTCTCTTTATGATGTGAGCCTAGAAAGAAGAATAGACAGTTTAATATTTTTAAAGTGATATCAAACCCTTGACACGTCACACCGTTTATATATACTAACTTGCGTAAGGCTATATATTTACTTTTTGATTCTTTCACTATTTTCTTGTAATATTATGTCTATCAACTTGTCTTAGGTACTAACATTTTGAAATGTTCGAGTGTGATCCGCATTAAATTACTGATGTTAGTATTTATAATATTTCCAGTGGCACAAATTTTAAGCGAACCCTAGAGTAGCATATTGTACGACTAGTTATGAGAAGACTCTTGATACCTAGTTTGGCTTATAGCTATAAATATCCATTGGGCAATCAGCTACCCATTGGCAGGTTATGTTCCTTGACAGCAACACTTCAAGTCACTTCAAAGCAACTACTATCAACAAGAAGCAATGTGGTAAAAGATAACTCTGATGATAAGAATAAGATTCAGAAGAATAAGAGTGGTATAAGATTAGATTCTATATATGTGATATCACTACCGATCACGTCAAACAAATCATACATACATTGTAATCATAGACCGTCAATTCTTCCAAAATCGCAGCTCAAAGCGTTTCCATTGGTGACCAAGCTTGAAAACAAAATCTCGGGGCTTGTCTTGAAAGGATGGAATAAAATGAATAACTCTAAGTTTCGTGTTAATGTGAAACTTACTGATTGGGTCAAAATGCTTTTAAATACAATTCAGTACGAAGAAGGTTGTCTAAGATCATTTCCTTCGAAAAATTCAATGATTAGAGAGGTCAATCATGAATTCTTGAACGAGAAAAAACTCTCAAGCCCAAGCTTGGTTCAAACACAAATATCAAGCTTGAAAATACCTGAAAGTCAATTGAAGCCCATTCCACTTTTCTATCCAGAGTTTCAAGACCCAATGACTATATTAAAGCAACTTCGTTATCTCAGAGACACATCATACTCAAAGCATTTCAAGCAAGCTATAATTTGTGCCGTTGGGTTGCCACTTACATTACCACTTGCGCTCATACCTATACTTCCTAATGTGCCTGGTTTTTATGTTGCTTACAGATTATACTGCAACATCAAAGCCATCTACGGTTCAAAGCATTTAGGGTACTTATTGGATGACACAGATCATAGACCGAAGGAAAATTCTAGTTCAGAAAAGAAGCCCGCGAGTGATACGGATCACATAACATTTACAGCTTCACCTATCCTAGATAAAATCTATCGAACATACGGTCCCGCAGAGATTGTCACATCGAATGACAAAAAAGAGCGAATTGTCATTAACACAGATATAATTGATGCGTTGGGGACCGAATTACCCTTGGCCCATTTGAAAGCAGATCTTTTAAAAGCCTTGCGGCAGGAAACTGCAAGGTTGGAGAAATTAGATAAGGCTATTGAAACCATCGAAAATTAACTGACCTTGTATGGTTTTAAATAAAGTGCATTCTATAATAAGACATAACATCATGCCATTGATCCCCGAGCGCTATGAATTCTGTGAGAGATATAGGTAGACCTCAAAAGAATTTTCAACTTCTCTACAAGTTTAATAGGTTTTAAAGTTTACTCTTGGTGAGGTTCATTTTCTGTGAATTCTTGCCCTAATGCATTTCACGTGTATATATATGTAGTGTCTCAGTCACAATTAGCTAGAGTCTAAAGTCGTGCGAAATTCGGCAGTCATCCACTTTCCTGCTCGACGACGATCGGAGAATATTATAAAAGTCTCAAAAGCGCTTCTTGAGTGAAAGAAGAGATTAGCAATATACACTGAACATCTATTAAAATGAGAGATAAGTGGAGAAAAAAGAGAGTTAGAAGACTTAAGAGAAAGAGACGGAAGGTTAGAGCAAGATCCAAGTAATTGGACACTGGCCTGGCAATAAGCATGCAAATATGAAAATTGCTCCACGAATGATATGAGGTTCTAATTGTGACTAGAAGCAAAGCTTGGAGAAAACAATTACCTGGTATAACGCAGAGGCCTTGTTTCTTGAGTAGAATGTTACTATCAATTTGTGATAACGGTGGTTTTTTGAAGTATGACAGCTTGTTTCTTTTATTGTCCTCTTTTGGGTAATGATAAAATAGATGTCATACTTACATGTATGTTAAGTATCTGTCATAGCGCAATGTACATATATACTTTATCTTTTGACTGTAGTTCAAATTATAGCTGTCGAATTACTTCGTCGATGAGTTACTTTTCTTGCGGCCCGATGTGTGTGGTTTTTTGTAAAGAGGGTTGGTTTGGCTGCTAAGAGAATAGTTCTTGCCTTAGTGTTAATCAAAGTGACCAGAGCATCTAAAGCCATGTACGTCGGTATGCTCTCCTCGTTATTATTTTGCATATTTTCTCGACTCGAGCTGAGCACAAATGGCTGCAACACAAATACTAGACCGCCCAACTCCTGCTTGTTTAGAAGAATTGAGCAAAGCAATGTCCATAAGGAGACATTGCAATGGCTATGGACAATCAGAATCATATCCAGTAGTAATGTCCTCAATTAGCCGGGCTTCAGCTCCCATCCAGGTACCATTGAGTAGTTCGACTAGCATCAACAGATCCCAGAATACACATCCTAAAAAGCTCGAACAATCTTCAAAATACAAATCCAAATCACTTCCAGTCAATTCTACAAATTGGGTGAAACTTGTCCAAGATACATCCTCTGAAATCTTAAACAATGATATCAATACAGTTGCTAGAGAAACAACAGCAGATATTCATAACGTGAAAATGAAGACGCAGAACGGAATATCAGGTTTTCCCCGATGTCATACTATAAACTCAGAAACTTATAGGGAGAATCAGTCAATAAAAGGCAGATACGGCCATCTTGGGAAGCCACTTTCCTCATATACCAACTTTATTCAAGATGATAAGCCTCTGCCCAAGTGCTCCTTAAGAAACGTAAGATCAAAAAGAAACTTTATCCATGGGACAAGTGATCCCTCCATAGACTTCCTCCATAGACTGTCGCCAAATGAAGTTGGTTTGCCATACTCGTGTACTAGTTCTGAAGCTTTGTCTAGCGATTTTGAATTACAGCCTCTGGCATATGATATTGTAGAAGAAAGTTCCTCGAGACAAAGTCCATTGGCTGCAGAACTAATGAATGGCCTAAATGCTCACAAGCCTCCTTATGATCCCTTATTTGCAGATAATCCTGTAGCAGGATCTTCTATTCGCCAAGGTGTCATATTGCAACAAAGTTCTCGTTTTCTACCTATGATTGACTACTTTCAAGAATTCATGGAAGAGCGGCTCATAAGATGGAGACCCAGTGAATCTCAGTTTGATAACGAGGCATCGATGAATGGTAGGCACCCGTTTCAGCAGCTAACTGATATACCTTCAAAATCAGACTCGTCTAAACGAATATTTACTTCATTACGGAATTGGTTTATCAGTGAAAAAGCGTTAACAAATGATCTCGAGAACAACATATCTGGTATTAAGGGATCCTCTGGGCCAAACTGTTGTGCTGATTTATCTTCTTCAAGATCATTTTCTAAACAAACTGCGAAAAATTCAAAAAAAGTTCCAAAATACGGTGATTTCGCAGCCTACTTGAACAATTTTAACTTGAAACCAAATAGTTCTAATTCAATGCTTTCAGTTGCTCATCCCTCTCCAGCGCTATCACATAACGCAAGTCCAGACAACGTAGCCATTACGCTAACCGAGGAACCTGCCATGATCCAAGAGCTTCAATATACTCCCCGAGCGTTGCCATTGAAAGACTTTGAATTAAATTATGAAAGAAAGAACATGGAACAATCATCAGAAAGACAAGACCAAAATGGTAATGAAATAATCAATTCCATGGACGAGGAAATTCGAGATCTAATAGACGGTGTAGATAATTTCTTGAGTGATTGCATTTCAAATATATGGACATGTCTCCAAGAGACTAGTAGATGTTGCTTTGGTTGCTATTGATAAAAAATTATACGCTTACTAGACAAATTTATATAGATTCTTAGAGGCTGCGCCGCAAGCGATAACTGAAGATATAAAGAGAATTAGAACTTGTAAGTACTACCTAATTTTCACTCAGATGCTTCTGCAAACTTCTCAGACATATTAGTTAACAATTCACCAAATTCCTTTCTACCTTCTTCTTCACCTCTGGATGGCTCAAAGAACTTAGAAGATGAAACAGAATGCTTAACATCAGCAGTACTTTCAGCTAACTTGGACCATTGAGCTCCATTTGCAACTGCCTTTTGTGCTTCATCATAATAAGAAACAAAAGTTTTCATCATATCGAAAGTCTTCCAGATTGGACAAAAAGCATCATAGGTCGAATAACCATTTTGTTGCAAGAAATCTTCCTTAATCAAATTAGCAACATCCAAAGAAATCTTGTCAGAGTCAGATAAAGCAGACTTACCGACTAATTGAACTACTTGTTCCAATTCTTCGGCATTTGACAAAATTTCTTTGATTTTGTTTCTCAAAGCTGGAAACTCCGGATAATTAGCGTCATAGTACTTATTCAAGACATTGGTATATTTGGAATACGAAACCGCGGTATTGATGGATGGGAAATGCTTTCTTTGAGCCAATTTCTTATCCAATCCCCAAAAGACCTGAGTAATACCCAACGTAGAAGTGGTGACTGGGTCAGAAAAGTCACCACCAGCTGGAGAAACTGCAGCAACGATGGACACTGAGCCGATTCTCTCTGGTGAACCCAAAGCAACGGCCTTACCTGCACGTTCATAGAAAGAAGCCAACTTGGCTCCCAAATATGCTGGGAAACCTTGATCAGCTGGCATTTCACCCAATCTACCAGAAAGTTCTCTCAAGGCTTCGGCCCAACGCGACGAAGAGTCAGCAATCATTGAAACATTCTTACCTTGATCTCTAAAATACTCTGCTAAGGTGATACCTGTGTATATAGATGCTTCACGGGCCGCAACGGGCATATTGGAAGTGTTTGCCACTAATGTCGTACGCTTCATAATATTCTCTTTTCTGCCTGCAACTTCGGTGTATAATTCAGGGAATTCCATCAAAACTTCTGCCATTTCGTTTCCTCGTTCACCACAACCAACATATATAATGACATCGGAATTGGAATATTTAGACAATGACTGAGAAATAACTGTTTTACCACATCCAAAAGCACCAGGAATACAAGTTGTACCTCCTTGAACACAAGGGAAAAGGGCATCTAAAACTCTTTGACCAGTCAATAATGGATAATCAGCCGCCAATTTCTCTGCTACGGGTCTAGGAACTCTGACGGGCCATGTATGCATCATTGAGTAAGAATGCTTCTTGCCATCAAACTCAAGCTCTAAAACTGTGTCCTCGACACCGTATGAACCAGATTCAGCAATAGATGTAATAGTACCTCTGGCTCTTGGAGGAAGCAATATTTTATGATCATCTAACAACGAATTTTCGAAAATAGAACCGAAGATATCACCTCCTGTTATTTGGTCTCCAACCTTCAACTTACCTGGTGTGAAATCATACTGGGCAGTTCTAGACAATGAAGGTACATCAATACCCCTTGGAATGTAAATTGATTGTGAAGCTTCCTTAATTGCCTTCAAAGGTCTTTGAATACCGTCATAAATGGTCTCCATCAACCCAGGACCTAATTCAACAGACAATGGTTTTCCTGTTCTTAAGACTGGATCACCTATAGTGACACCAGCAGTCTCTTCGTAGACCTGAATTGTTGCCTTGTCACCATTGATACGGATAACCTCACCGACCAAGGTGTCATGACCAACCTTGACTAATTCATACATCGCACATCCAATCATGTTCTCTGCAACAACGACAGGACCAGAAACTGAGTAAATTTGGCCATATTGAGATTCATGGTCATCTAAAGAGAGACGCTTGATTTCCTTCCTAGCATTTTCTAAAGCACCAGCCTTAAAACGTTAGTATTTTTACAATTTTAATCTTAACCCTTAAACGATTTCCTTAAATGAAAGTTCACTTAAAAAGTGAAGATTTCAAGATGAAACATTAAAAGATATTCCCTTGGAGTAATTACTTACCATTTTGACTATATGCGATGTTTTCTATCAAATTGAGTGGGGTTTATTTAGCAGGGCAAGTCCTCTTATCGAAGTTACGTTCATAGAGTAAATTCACCCTGTGCGACGAACTCGGGTCGTGGAACGTACTACCCACGGGTTACCCGCTCCTACAGATAGCTATTTGCACTATTATCACCAAACTATCAGTTGAACATAAGGAAGATGTTAGAGCGTATGCCATTGGGTTTATCCTACCGTTCACAATTGAAGTTACTTCCAGCAGAGCTATCTTAAGAGTTTTTTTTTTTAAAGAAAAAGAATTTAAGAAAAAGTAAGAATCGATGCGTTGCATCCATTTCAAGACAATGAATAATTCGATGTTGTATTAAATAAATTTCAATTATATAGAGTCGAAATTAAATGCTATCTTCAAATCATAACCTTGGGCTTAGCTTTCTGGACCTGTCATGTGCTATATCACACATGGCATTGAATGCTTCTTCTCTTTCCTTGTGGAGATCATTTCTTGCTATACGTTCTTCCATATTCTCCATAATGCTGGCCCTAGTTCTGCCATTAACAAAGACAACATAACGTAAACCTGGAAAAGTAGCCTCATATTTTTCATTCAAAATCAAAAGCTTCTCGGCGTCCTCCTTTGAACCCGAGTTTAACGATCTTTGCTCTGCTGATGAATGCTCTGATAAGTTTGTTGTTTTTGATTCTTTTGACGGGCCCAACCTAGGATGGGCCGCAATGATTTTTGAAATATCAGGGTTTAATGGCTTTCCATTCTTAACAGCTTCTTTTTCAGAATTCTCAAGAAATGTAAGAAGCTTGGTGCGAATAGCTTCAATTAAATCATCGTAAGAGGAGAACTTTGGATTGTCCCTTAAAACATTTTGAAGGATGAATGCTGATAAGGTCTCGCAAGGCTCAAAAAGGTGGTTTAAGAGTTCAACTTTCAAATCCTTCAGAAGAGCAGGGAGCTGCGAAATTGGATACAAGGTGTAAGGATGCATTCGTTGTCTTCACGATGACTTGTAAAAAAAAAAAATATTAGAAACCAAATTATTCATCAGTCTCCATTAATACAAGCAAGAAGTTCTTGATGAGATAATACGTAAAGAGAAATATCGGAAATTTCCGTGAAATATTATGTGCAGGCCTTGATATTTACGAGATATATCGTGAGGGATTGGAATATTTTTCGAAAATCTAATACTAGTAAACATTTATTGATATGCAATATTTAAGATGATAGTGGCCCAAAATATGGATGGCAATGCTCCATGTCCAGGTAGGGTTTATGTGAAGTGTTGTAATTCACGTAATCTCTTCATTTCTTTCTTTGATGGAGCACCTTTTTGAGCGATCAAAGGATGCCTCCACTGCTTGACGTAAGAGAAAATAACATCCGCCAATTGATCGATTTCATCAAATCCTAAATCCTTAAATGTCTTAGCATTTGGATCTATACTTTGATTGATTAAGTGTCTTTGAATTTGATCAGAATTAGTTAATTTCCAGTAAAGTAGTTGCTTCAAATCAGCAACAGCTTTTAATATCGGTAACGGCAAATAGTAATCTGCGAAACTGTAATTTAAAGGTCCAACTTGTGAGAAATCTTGAGTGATACCGTGAATCATTTGTCTTATCTCTAAGAACGACATTTTCTCCGGACCATATAACTCATAAGTCTGCCCAATAGTAGAGTCATCAAAACCAATCTTTTCTAAAGCCTTAGCAACATCAAGAACATGAACAGGATATATCTCCTTAGCATTTTTATTTGGAGTCCACATCTTCAATTTTGGTCCTAAATAGTTCAATAAAGTGTCTTCTCTGCCGAACATTGGAGCTGGTCTTACAATAGTGGCATCTGGTAAAATTTCTCTCACACGGTTTTCTGCAACACCCTTAGTAGCATAGAAGATAGATTCGGAATTTGGATTAGCATTGTAAGATGAAACATGGACAAATCGAGGAACACCCGCATCCTTTACAGCATTGGTTATTCTCTCAGTAATTTCTATGTTAACATCAGCCATTGAAAAATTTTTCGTATTATAGTCAGCACCAATACAGTTAAAGACTATATCAGAGTGGGCGACTGAATCTTCAATAGATTTTAAATTTCTGGAATCAAACTCCACGAAATTCACAACTCCTAAGTCACCAGTAAGCTTCAAAAATCTTTTCTTCATATCGTCTCTGTACGGAACAACAGTGATAGTTCCATGCTTAGCCAACTTGGAGGTGAGGTAGCGACCCAAGAAACCAGCTGCACCGAAAACGGTGGCTGTATATCCAGTCCTTGAAGATCTACCTCCACGACCAATGGCAACATTTACTTTACCATTTCTAGTTACGTTGACATCTGACTCTAAGACAGGTGTGACAATGGTTCTTAAACCTAGCCTTCTAGTGATTGGCTTAGTTGATCCCCTTAACAACATAACCAACTATAATGTATTAATTTAGATATAGTGATCAACTATTCCTATAGTCAATTTAGTGTCTACTGTAATTCGTGCTCGTTATTTGAAAAATGGAAGCTCTGGTTGGTTAAATAATAATTGTACTTTACACGACAATTTTGATATGGCTACCAATACCTCCTAACAACTCTTCAAGCATATACGCCTGTTCTAGTTTTACTCTGGCCTATCCTTCACAAACGCAATTAAGTTTGCTGTTTCAATGGATATAGGAACTTTGTAAAAAATTTGACAATTCTTAACATACACCTTTTACAATATTCTCGAATACAAAATAGACATTTTAGATTAGCGTAAAGACAATTTATATATAAAAAAAGAATACTAATACTTCGTCATTTACCAGGTCACATTAGAATTCGGTTGAGCAATACAAATCGCTATGCTTTGTAATGCGAGGTCTCACAAGAAATAATCTGGTGTTTTTCGAGTTACTGTAGGCTCTCCCGGTCTAACAGATGGATCATACTGTAAGAATTGTCTATCATGATGTTCGTCAACTTCCATGATAGCTGCTTGATTGCCACATCTGTAGCAATAATTGGGTGCAGAAAAAATTGTTACGACTGCTTCTTGATGTGACCATGAGTAACCTTCCATAACTAACTGATGAGCTCTCGCAATTAAACTCAAATCATTAGTATGGTTAAATTGCTCTGAGATATCTTGACCAAAAGTGAAGCCCGCTCCTCTTGCTGAAATACCCCAACCGCCCCTATCGTCTGGGTCGGACCATAATAAATCACACATTGGTCCTTCATGCGGGACTTCCTGGATTCTATTCAATTCTCTGACCTGATCAATAGTTTCGATCATTGGGGACAAACCACCATGTAAGCAAAAGATTTTGTTATCAACCAAAGCTGTTATCGGAAAGTAGTCAAAAAGATCGGTAAAAAGTTTCCATACAGTTGCAGATCCATACTTTCTTAGACATTCGTCATAAAATCCATAAACTTGTGTTATCTGTCTCGATTCGTGGTTACCTCTCAAGATGGTAATCCTATTTGGGAATCTCACTTTCATGCAAACCAAGTAACTTACCGTTTCAACTGAATAATAGCCTCTATCAACATAATCACCCATGAACAAGTAATTTGTATCAGGACAGGGTCCCCCAATTTTGAACAATTCCATTAAATCATGAAATTGACCATGCACATCACCACAGATTGTGACGGGAACTTGAACAGGTTGGACATTTTCTTCAAATTGCAAAACGTCAATAGCCATCTCACATAACCTTTCTACTTCTGACTCGCTAAGAGGTTCGCACTTGGAGAGTTTTTCAATCCACTGGTCTAGCTGATTCACAGTTGAAACACTCAAGTCTTGGTTCTTATGTGAAGATGGTCGTTGTTCTTGGTGCTGTTTCAATTGCTGTTCATCCTCGCTGACGTCCTCCATTGGAACATCTGTATCCAAGTCCATGTTGTATGTTTTTCTCAGGGATAAGTATATTGTAACCTGTAAACCTAAGTAAGTTGTTTCTCAATTGCTTGATACCGATAAATATTGCTCGCTAATTTTATGCCAGAATGCTATCTTTTCGATAAATCAAAATTAAGATATGTACAAATATTGAAAATTTGCTATTTGTTAAAGAAAGTCTCCAGAATACTTTCCCTTAAGACTAAACAATGTCGTTATTGCAAAATCTAATAGCCTGTTCAGTAGTGACTTGAAGAAATGACAAAATACTAGACAACTCAAAGATGAAATTAATAACACTGTTCTATCGTATCCTACTCGCTTCTTTTAATAAGGATTTATCACCGAGGGTATGCTTGCTAATTCAATGGAATACCCTGATCTATCACCAGTGACCTTATATATTCTTGATTCGAATTGAATTGAATAGAAACTACCTATTAATAACACCAATTAATCTATATCAGTAGTTTTATTCTGTGATGTTGAAGTAAGTTGATAGTTCTCTGAATCCTTTCTGGTAGGTTGATCTGTTTACACGACCAAATAACTCAGCACGAAAATTTTGAGCCATGATCACGTGAGGTAAAGAAGATGTAACATTTACTATTGATCTAGACTATATCGATATATGCTAGTAAAGAGCAAGTAGATTAGCTCAACAACACTTGAACATTTCGAAAGTTCACTACTGTACAGATGAATAGTTATTTTTGACGTCCTCATGTTCTGAAGTGCCCAACTGAAGCAAATTGGAAAAGGAATTAGATGCACTTGCAGCCATGTCATCGGTAATTTGGCTAAATAAGTTACAAAGATTCTTTGTGCTTTCACTGAGAGCAAGAGAGGGATAACCTTGATCTTCTTCTTTCTTGGTTATCGCCGACGTGCTTGGTGTTGTGATGGATAAGGCGTTGTGGAAAGGTGGAAAATTCGTGGTGGGCAGCATCGAAGAGTTAGTCATAAGAACATCCTCTGCCCTTGGACTGGCAAAACCAGAAACCAAATTATTCGTCAAGTTATTTGCTGAGGAAGAGCTAGCTTCAGGATTATTTTTTTCATGTAAACCAATTCCGTTGAAGTTATTACCATTGTGAGTGTTTAGTGCTAACTGTGTCTGATGGTCTAGCTCCATTAATAGAGTGTCAACTAAATTGTCGTTTTCTTCATTTCCAAATTGTTCCAACTGAGGCTCCGATAGCTGCAGGTTACGATTCCTTGCGGCCTGGCTTGAGTTTCTTAAAAACCATTCGTTTAGCCTTCTATTTGAACGAATGACCTTATTAATGGCAACAAAAAATGGAAAAAATCGAGCAATTTTACCAGTATATATAGCTAAGTCGTTGTTTTCAAAAGAGCTATCACCTTCTAACTCCACGATGGCAAGAAGTATTTGAATTAAGTGTGGTAACATTTGGTAGTTTGAAACATGTATTTGTAGAATTTCACTTTGAGGATTGATTAGATTATTCAATTGCATAACGATATTCATCCACTCCATTTTGATGGATTCTCTGGAAAGTTCGGATTGGTCTATAAGCGACAATTTAAAAAGTATGATTTGTTTCAAAATTTCTGTGTGAGGTTCGTTATTAGTAATATCATACAATTTAAACTTGACATCATTATACTTAGAATAAGCCAGGTTATTTTCAGCGAAGCTGAATTTTGACATATGGACGGCATTCAGTTTCGCAATTCTTTGAACCCTGTCATTTTCAAATACATGGTCCTTCGTTAAAGTTTTGAATACTTCAAATAAAACGTTTTTGTTGAACTCGTTCAGAATTTTAAAGTTCATGTTTTTCATCTCACTCAACATTAGTTGACTACTATTGTTTAAAATAGTAACATTGCTCGAAAAGAATATACGAAATCTTTCGATAGTATACAAGTATTCGTATAACTCAAAAAGTTGAATAATACCTAATTCATTTTTTTGAGGAAAGTTGATCAATTGAAAATAAGTGATTGCTTTCCTTAAGTGAATCAATTTCTGCTGATCTCTCATTTCACTATCAAAAGGATCCATTCTTAGAATTTGATAATAAACATACAAATGAATCGCAGATATAGATAAGTTATAGTACGTTTGATGTTCATTTCCGCATGCATTTGAAGAAGGGAACACGAGATTGCGATCAATAGCTGCTAAAAGATCAGTGATTTTCAATTTCAATGAATTTTCAAGATCCTGCCAATAATCTTTATTCGTAAGGTTTTCATTTCGATGCTTCAAAGCAAACAGGCTAAACTTTAATATATTTAGCTTTTCCAAATTCACCAGTATTAATAAGCTTAGCGTTACTATAACAAGAAGTTTTGATATACTAAGTGAATCACTATGATCCATTGAATATGTAATTTCGTTACTCATAGAGCCTCTGAAGGTGGCACTAAGGTAGTCCATTAAATTAACGCTATTCATTAACAAAGACTGAACCGTCAATGGTTTCATAAGTTCTAAGACGATCGGCTCATCATTCATGAGAGCCAATGTCTCGATCAATACGGTGGGAGATATAGCGTAGTCAGTGAATCCATTATCTGAGTGTTCTAAAGGTACAGTATTTGTACTAGATGTGTTTGACAAAGGTGGCCTTTGAGGTAAATGAGGACTATCCTTTGCGTCGCTGATATGATTAATAGAATCAATAGTTTTTTGATGCAACTTTTTGGGACCACTTTTCTTCCGTGCTCTTAATTGTGTACATTTTAAATTATTCGTAAGACAGTGGTGACAAGGTCTCTTAGCTTCACACTTGACCTTTCTTATTGCACATGCATCGCAGGCCCTCACGTTTTGAGACTTTTTCTTTGATATTTGGGCCTTGTTTACAACTGAAGACGACGAACTGGACGGCGAGGCGACCCTGTTGGGTATTTCTAAGTCTTCTGAGCTATTTTTTGATTCCGGACTTATGCAGCGCAGATTGCTGGTCATGTCATTGACTTTATTAGTGAGCATTTGATCCATATTAGTACCATAGTTTTCTTGATTCACAGTCAAATAACCGTGTAGTTGAATTTAAAAAATGTAGTATGTCAAATACTTGGGGATTGAGGGCAACTAGTGGACTCAGCTCGAGAAATCACAGACCAAGGGGGATGCTTTATTTCTTAATCTCTTATTACCGTATAAAGATTATTTATTTTGTTGAATCTACCTTATCACTAGGTGACAACTAAAAGTAACGATGCAAGAAAAAAAAAAAAAGAAAAGGTAAAGACTCCAACTAAATCCAGCTACGACACTTATTGAATCAAAAAGATTTAATGAAAAATTGACACCCTAACTAAGACTATTCTCCCAAATCTCATGAAGTCTTCTAATATTATTCTTCCTTAGTAACCTTTTGGATTCTACGTCTTTTGCGTCAAAGTGCAAAACTCCGCATAGCTCCCCCTCACGTTGTCTATTATTAGTCAGAATCGAAAGGGCGAAAGTGGGCCGCAGCCTAAATCAATGGAACTAAATACGATTTATATGGTAAGTAACCCACCAAAGAGCCACTTAGAGCCAATCACTATGAATGTAGTCTCCTATGGCTTTCAATAAATGAGATACTAATTGGATATGCTATTAATCATTTCGCGATACCTCCGTTGATTAGCAGCCATGTCTAAGAAAATGTTGTATTTCTGAAACAATATGCGTTTTCCTTTTATATCTAAGTTTGTCTTCTCTGAAACACCACTCACGTCATCCTTCTCAGGATTGAACGTCTGAATCTTAACTACTTGTGAGGCTGTTTCAATTGACTGCTTAAGCAGTTCTGAGTAGGAAAGATGATTAATTTCTACCTTATAACCAATCAAGCTTATTATAGACGAGCCTCTAACTACGTTGTATTTAGAGGGTGGATGCAAAATTTTAGTTACGGGAATAGACAACATAGAGGTTAGGAGACTAATGAACCTAGTATTGTCTGCTTGGGAGCCGCTTATGATAACTGTATCAATTGCTGTACCGTTGTGTTCTTTTATTATATCTAGAATTTGCATCAATTGAAAACAAAGAAATTCTATGATGAGATTATATCTTATAACCAAAGAAGTCATGTTCGACAGATGCATAACTGATGGTAATGAATACGATGCATTAGCTCCGTCTATTATAGTTTCTCCCATACTATGATCATTATATGGTGATCTATTTCCGAAAGTGTCTCCATAATAGAAATAATACTTGATAACTTCGTGGATAGAGCATTTTCTCTTAGCTTCAAGCTTTGCGGTTTCCATCTCAAGCATTTCAAATAGTTTCAGCATGTTTTCTTTGTAGCAATCCACACTCAATTGAGCTTCTATGATATCGCTGAAGTCCGCAAATAAAGTCTCAAACAATTTTCCTGTCGCAGGTTGACCAAACTCAAATAATTTTATGTCCATATCTACAAGCTGTTCAAATGGTCCCCAAATACCAGGTATAGGAGCAAACAGTTTCGTTGTTGAAAGAATGAAACATGTAGATGTGCCAGCAATCATAGAAAGGTTATTAGAGTATACAGACGGATTGCGCAATAGAGTTGCAGCCCATCCCGCGTAACAATCAATGCATCCATTACATACAATGACTTCATTCTCAGTTATGTTCTCGTGAACTCTTCCTATAGGGATACCTATAGGATTAAGTCGTTTGAGTAGCTTTTCACTCCCAAATTCAGCTTTTCCTATTTGAATACCGACACCTATTCTTTCAAGAAACTTTGATGACCAGCCTTTAATGGACCCATCTAAAGCCATTGAATCTTCATCATAATCATTCTCGAAGTCATTGAATGGTACGAGTTTTTCTGATGTAAATCCTCCTACGAGGAGTAAATAAGTAATCCAATCATAAAGCTCGAAAGCTATTAACTTTTTATCAGGGAACTTATCAGACACTGACTTAATTTTTGGCAAACCCATTTCGGGAATAATGTTGCCTCCTAAAACACCCAACAATTCTGTATCCAAAATCTTGTTTAAAAATCTACTCTCGTCGACGGCTCTGTTATCCATCCATAATAATACGTCGTTATAGGTTTTAGATTGCTTATAGTCACAAGAAAAAGGTTTGAGAAAGAACGTAGAATTTCTTTCGATTTTCTCTAGCAAAACCATTGAGCATGTGGCAGTAACACTTATGCTTTTGAAGTCTGAAGGAATTTTTTCAAGCATCGATAAAATCTTTTCGAAGATCTCTATCGAGGATTGTGTTATGAAACTATTGTCATTTGATACCTCTATATCAGAAGCAAAACTAGTGTACAGACCGGTATCGAAAGCACTATAGCATACTCTAACGGACGCAGTCCCGATATCGATTCCTACGGTTGACATTATTCTTCGGAATTTTTATGGAAAGTTTATCAAAAAACTTATCAGAGAATTCGAACGATAACGTTTATCGAGACGCTAAAGTTTTCTCGCAACCTTAATAGAAAAGCCCGTTATAAAAACAAAATAATATACATTATATGGAAACGACTAAACTTTATGTAAAACAAAAATATTTGCTAGATCCAGATATTTTCATACATAAGACATTAGATCTGACTTTATTGTCATTTCAAATCTAAGGATAAGTATGAAGTATACAGGAAGCCTAACTATTTATCTGAGCAATGGACCCTTCCTTATCAATCCAAGCTTGGACAGTTGAACTGTCTAAAGTTTCGCCGAAATCATCGTCGACAGTCAAAATGTGAATGTTCTCTCCATCAAACACAACAGCAGCCTTGATGGTTCCACTAGTTGGTCTCTTGAAATAATCTTGAGAACCACCACCACCGTAACCAGAACTACCACCGCCCTGGCCATCGTGCAAATGCGAAATCAATTTGTCAGATCCACTAGATAAGATTTCGAACAAATCTAACTCACCACAGCCTGTTTCCCAACAAGAGCAACTAGAATCACCGTACTGCAAAGTTCTTGGGATCTTGGCGTTCAATAACCAAATGGCGGGCATATCGTAGTTGTAGGTGCTACTACTTCCAGAGGCTTCTGGCATTTCAAATTCAAATACAAAGATCTTTTCTTTACCAGCAAAACCTTTGTATGCTGGAATTCCATCTCTGTAGTATCCACAGCTATCATCACATTTATCTCCAGACATTATAACGTATTCAACGTCGGAACCAATCGAAACGGAATCAACAGTGACTGCTTTAGAGGAACCTCCAGAGAAATCAGAGTTGGCGTATGATAATGAGTTACCGAACTTTGATGACCAGGTACCTGATCCCGACCCACCGTAGTAGTTCAAAAAGGTAACGTTATCTGAAGTGCCTGATGCATAGTACGAGACTCTTTCATATGAACCAGCTGAGCTACCATCAACACTACCACTGGAAGATGATGATTCTGATTCATCACTTGAAGAAGTTCCCGAAGTACCAGAACTAGCTGCATTTGGAGAACTAGCAGAACCAGCAGTAGATGAAGTAACAGTAGTACTAGCATCAGAAACAGTTGGCGTATTGGTGGCTTGAGATGTGACAGTGTTTCCACTATCGTCAACGACAACCGTTTGAGTGACCTCGACGACTGCAGTTGCTCTCTTGTGTTTATGATGTTGGTGAATGTTATCATTACAGTCCTCTTCTCTTTTCTTGTTAGAGGACAGAGAGGATGGATAGTAAACACCGAATTGTTTTAATTTTAAAGGACCTCTGCAATGAACGGACAATTGTTCATCTAAAGGAGATAAGTTTCCTGAGAATGAACGAGATTTTTGGGTACATGAACCAGTATCCTCATTCATATTTGTAACATCCTTATAGGTGCCCGAAAACCCAACACCCTTGTAAATGACTTTGCTGGTCAGGGAGCAATAGTAATTACCACCATTTTCAGTGCATCCAGCATTAACATGTGCAACTGCACTGAGAATAGACACAAGTATGGAGCTACTAAACTTCATTCCTGCTTGATCTTTAGCGAAATGAGCGACTTGAGTTGGTTAAATTTTTTGAAGCTGATTTTAAGCTTTCGAAAGGAATGGACAGAATTTCTTTGCTGACAAGTAGAAATTACGGAAAAGACTATGTGATAAAGGCTGCGAATAAAGAAAGTCTTCTAATACTCTGAAGTATGATTTGCTTTTATCTCTCAACTGTGTCTAGTTTGGCCAAAATATCTCTTAAAAGTATTGTTATTACATTCTGACGGGCAACATTTGCTTTTATAACTATCTTGGGAGGAGGGAGGCGCTTTCGTTCCTATCTTTGTTTACTGCGACACATCGTCTCAAAGTGACGAAACATATCCATGGCTGGGTGTTATGAAACGCGAATATTCTTGGAAACATCGCTCGTGTCATGGCCGGTTTGATTTTGGAATGCTAGCAACAATCCCGTGACTACAATAGGAAAGTATCGGATGTGATGGAAATTTACTACCTCGGTGATCTCAGACAATGCATATTTGTTTGTCACTAAGCCGAAACGAATTCCGGTTATGAGAATAGCTGCGCTTTCCTTCCCAATCTGTAAAAAAGCTGGCGGTAGGAACAGGGCAACCAGCAAAGAGGGCTTTGAAACTTCTCTATTTGCTGGTATGGGCCCGTAGCGGATTGCAGTGCTATCTCCTACTGTTTATCCGCGACAAGAATGTCCGATGTTTGTCTCCTTGGGTTGGCCGGTGCACAAAGGAATTTCGCGTGGTGGGGTTCTCAGAGGGCTTAAATGTTTAAGTAAGTAGAATCTACCTAACGACAAGAATATTCCTAGTATGCTATTTTCAAACTAGGAAGGCTGAAGGAAAACGGCTCTTGACCTTATTCACTTTTTGTTCTTGGGATCGTAGTCGGAACTAGATAGGCTCATCGGCTTTCAATCTTCAGTGTCTGGAACTGTGAGGCTGATTACTAAATTGCCGTTAGCTGTCATAAGTTGAGACTGTAGATTAAGGATTAGCGACAGTTTTCAACTGCAATATGAAGGATCTGGGGAGAGAGAGATCTGGACCTTTCCGAAAATGACATGATCGAATATCAGCATCCAAAAAGATTTGCAGTTCCTAGATCGAATTTTAATTCTTTCCTAATTTTCTTCGTATTCGGATCTTTTTGGAAAAAAAAACAATAGAGCGAAAATCATCTTACAGTACTACTAATATATATTCATATACTCTGCATGTTACGTTATTAGATAAACGTCATATTGCAGACAAAACTTGATCTTAGCAGCTCTAGAGCAGACTAGGTTCGCCTGGGCAATCCTAGTAATAAATGTCTGTGTTGCCCCCCACCCTCTCTAAGTAATCCGCTCTTTAGATATGGCACCCAGAAAAATTAAAAATTAAAAAAAATTAAAAACGAAAAAGTAGGCACGTGATTGACATCAGACAATTTTTATTATTCGAATATTTTGTCTCATCGAGAAGAAATCAGCTTATGTAAAGAACATATAGGGAAGATAAAAGAAGCTCCAGACAAGTAATGGGTGACCATAGGAAAAATAAGCGTCAGAAGACAGACGATTCTCATGCAGAGCAAGTAGCAGAAGAGGCAGAACAATCTCTTTTGAAACATCCCCATAAGGATAGCAATGTAGAGTTGGTGCATCATGATGATGGAGAGTTCTCTGAATTGAAGAGGCACAAGACTACTACAGCTGAAGCAATAAAATTAGAGAATGGCCCTAAAAATCCGTTCTCAGGAACAGAATTGAGCGCGAAGTACTTTGATATTTTGAAAGTTAGAAGAGACCTACCTGTGCATTCCCAAAGGGAAGAGTTTTTAAAGAAGTTTCATTCAGCTCAAATCATGGTATTTGTAGGTGAAACAGGTTCAGGAAAAACTACTCAAATTCCTCAGTTTGTTTTATACGACGATATGCCACATTTATTGGGAAAGCAGGTAGCCTGTACCCAACCCAGGAGAGTTGCTGCTATGTCTGTCGCAAGCAGAGTCGCAGACGAGATGGATGTAGAACTAGGTGAAGAGGTTGGATATAGCATTAGGTTCGAAAACAAGACATCAAACAAAACAATACTCAAGTACATGACTGACGGTATGCTCTTGAGAGAAGCGATGGAGGATCACAATTTGGAAAGATATTCATGTATTATACTTGATGAAGCTCACGAAAGAACTCTTGCAACTGATATATTAATGGGTTTGTTGAAAGAAGTGAGTGTGAAGAGACCTGACTTAAAAATTATTATTATGTCTGCTACATTGGATGCAGAAAAGTTTCAAAAGTATTTCCATAACGCTCCTCTATTAGCAGTTCCAGGAAGAACATTTCCGGTAGAAATATACTACACTCCAGAGTTTCAAAGAGATTATTTGGATGCAGCAATAAGAACAGTCTTGCAAATACATGCAACAGAAGATGAAGGTGATGTTTTAGTCTTTTTAACTGGTGAGGATGAAATCGAGGATGCATGTAGGAAAATTTCTTTGGAAGGTGATGAATTAATAAGAGAGCAGGGTGCTGGTCCCTTAAAAGTTTATCCACTTTATGGATCCTTACCTCCTCATCAACAACAGAAAATTTTCGATCCGGCTCCAGAAGCCTTTACTCCAAATGGCAGACCAGGGCGTAAGGTTATCGTTTCCACAAATATCGCAGAAACTTCGTTGACAATTGACGGTATTGTATATGTTGTTGATCCGGGGTTTTCAAAGCAAAAGGTTTACAATCCAAGAATAAGAGTAGAGTCGCTATTGGTATCCCCTATTTCGAAAGCTTCAGCACAACAGAGGGCTGGTCGTGCTGGTCGTACTAGGCCAGGTAAATGCTTCAGGCTTTATACTGAAGAAGCGTTCAAAAAGGAGTTAGTAGAGCAATCCTATCCTGAAATCTTGAGAAGCAATTTAGCATCAACTGTATTAGAGTTGAAGAAACTTGGTATCGATGATTTGGTTCATTTTGATTTCATGGATCCGCCTGCTCCAGAAACAATGATGAGAGCCTTGGAAGAACTCAATTACTTACAGTGCCTTTCGGATGAAGGCGATTTAACAGCTTTAGGTAGAATGGCGTCCCAATTTCCGTTAGATCCTATGTTAGCAGTAATGCTAATTGGGTCTCCCTCCTTCAGCTGTTCAGAAGAAATATTGAATATCGTGTCCTTGATTTCTGTACCAAATGTGTTCGTACGTCCTCCTTCAGCGAGAAAGCAGGCAGATGAGGCTAAAATGGCATTTGCCCATCGCGATGGGGATCATTTGACGCTTTTGAATGTTTACAATGCATTCGTTTCGGATGATGCATTTGAAATCGGATTAAATAAATGGTGCCGCGATAACTTCTTATCATATAGGGCACTTAGCTCGGCGAAGAGCGTGAGATATCAGCTTCGTAGAATAATGGAGAAGCATGATTTGGACTTAAACTCGACCCCAGTTGATGCTCGCTCTTATTCTGTCAATGTGAGACGGGCGCTCGCTGCAGGTTTCTTCATGCAAGTTGCAAAAAAAAGACTGGGTGGAAAAGGATATTTAACTGTCAAAGATAACCAAGATGTTATGATACATCCGTCAACACTGTTGACCTCCGATAGTGAATGGGTCATGTACAACGAATTTGTTCTTACCACTAAAAATTATATCAGAACCGTGACCCATGTGCGACCCGAGTGGTTGGTTGAGCTTGCTCCCAAATATTATAATTTGAATCACTTTGCTAAAGGTGATGTTAGAATGTCGCTAGAACGAGTAATAGAGAAAATGCAAACCATGGACAAACTCAATTCTAAGAAAAAGAAGAAGAAGGATTAGACTTCTGTTAGCAGTTTTAATGGGCAATTTTCAAGGGTTCTTACATACATAGAGCGAACTACGTAAGATAGAGATTATATATGTAATGAAAGCATCTTAGTATAACTGGGAGTCTCGATAAAAGGAGGTTTCATCGCTGGTTGTACAGTCGTATCCTTTTTTTAGATCTCGCTATACTATCGCGATAGAGATACAATCAGCTGTGCATTCCTAGACGATGATAATATGTGACTTCCTGCTGTGTCTGCCTCGCGTCTTCACCAAAAGACGACGCGAGAATGTACGATTAGGGTTAAGATACCTGTATACAGATATAAACTCAAAAGCGAGCGGCGGGCTAACGTCGTCTAGCTACACTAGTTAACTACTATGTAGTACTATTGTTGATACGAGTAAAAGAACCCTTTTAGTTCATAAATACATATTATCTCCTTATAAATTTCAAAAGACCTAAAGCATCGTGCAAGAGTATTGAATTCAATAGCGCAGAAAAGTTTGGCACGATACAAAGAGTAAGATGGGTCTTCTGTTGGTAAGTATCTTTCTGGAGGTTCCTGCATTCTTTAATGAAGAAGATTAGATGACTCGAACTCTTCTTAAAAAGACAAAATGGACATAAATACATCTGCTATCGAACATATATTAACTTCAAATTAGTCTAAATTGTTTAAGAATCGCGAGATGAGAATACTCATGCTTGGTCTTGACAATGCTGGTAAAACAACAATATTGTACAAGTTGAAATTAGGAAAAACTTCGACTACTGTTCCCACTGTTGGATTCAACGTGGAAACAGTAAAGCATAAAAACGTGTCATTTGCGGTATGGGATTGTGGTGGACAAGAGAGAATAAGACCGTTGTGGAGACATTATTTTACTGGCACTAACGCCTTAATTTACGTCATAGATTCGTCAGATTTAGACAGATTGGAAGAATCCAGAAAGGAGCTCATGAGGGTAATTAATGATAAAGAATTAGCCAATTGCCTTTTGATTGTATTGGCAAACAAACAAGATATTAATGGTGCAATAAAGCCCAAAGAAATCATCGAAAAATTTCAATTAAATTCTTTATCAAGCAGTCATACATGGTCGGTTATTCCAGCGATCGCAATTGATGGAACTGGACTTGTTGAGGCTCTTAACTGGATCTCAAATCATAGTAAATAATATAAATGATAGAAATCACTAATTCGGACTTTAATACCTGAAATCTTCCAAACAAAAAAAAAAACTATGGCCAGAGAAGGCGTTATGAAGGGAGGAACCAGGAATTTCAAGTGAGGCATGCATTTCATTTCTGTATCGTTTACATTACTAAAAATTTCACCCCAATATTAGACGGAGTAACTGAACATCCAGATGGCTTATAAACTGGGACTACAATTACGAGTTGCAAACTAATTTTTTCGTCTTCTATAAGCTTTATTTTTTTACCTTACTTTGTATACTTAAATATATCTATATATATTAATGCTCTTGCTTATTCTTTATGTATCATTTACTAACGAGTCATTACACTTACATCTCCATTCTCTTCTCCGAAGTAAGCTCTATCTGCAATTTCTACAAATAATCCTGTGTCTACAACTCCCACTAACTGCTTGATGTTCTTGTGTAAAGTTTTAGGGTCCTGAACTTCTCCAAAATCTGCATCAATCAAAAAATTGTTATTATCAGTCACGACAGGACCAGCTTTCGCAGAACCACCTTGTCTTAAGTTAGTCGCCCTAGCACCTAATTTTTTCAACTCGGATGAAACCTTCACATAGGAGTTCGGAACAACTTCAATAGGAATACCTTTTGTCCAATTAATGCCCAATTTGCTTGTGGAGCGCTTACGATAGTCCGCAACTATAATAAACTTATCTGCTGAAGCAGCCACAAGCTTCTCTTGGAATAGACATGCCCCACCTCCCTTGATCAAGTTTAATTCAGTATCAACCTCGTCTGCACCGTCGAATGCAACATCAATTTTAGGAAACTGTTCAACAGCTCCTAATCGCAAGCCTTCGTCTATAATCAATTGTTTCGATTGAAATCCTGTGGGAATACAAATAAAACTATCCTTTTTCTTCATCTGCCCCAATCTTTCAGCAACATAAACAACAGTAGATCCAGATCCAATACCGACAACTTTGGCATCATGTGGGAAGTTCTCGTCTACTGCTTTGTAAGCAGCAGTCTTCTTAGCCTTTTCAACTAACGATCCAGTCGACATCCTGTATTTTGAACTTATGCCTTCAAGTATTTTATGTCTAGCAATCTGTCTCGCTCTCGTTACAGCTAGCATTAATTGCCCTGTAATAAAGATGTTGAATAAACAAGAAACCCCAGACGATTTTGCCATGACGTTTACAGAACGGTCACATGATGATATGTATGCATATAGTTGATACCAAAGCACATGACAAAGGGCTACCACCCTGCTTATATTACGGAAAAAAGTTGCTTTTGTGTCACTTATCCAAGAATTTTTCATCACTGGAAAAGTAATGTTTCATTAAGTGCGGGTGTCCGGATGATTTGAGTTCGAGATTGAGAGAGTGCCTATCGTTATTAGTGAAAGAAAAAAAGTTTGAAAAAAAAAGATCTTTGGTGAAACCAAAAGTTGAACAGTTTTTCATAGGATTCACAATTAATAAAAGAACCATGTCAACATCTAACAAAATCTTGTCAGAGAAGCCAACTGATTTGGAGTTGCAAGTTGCTCAAGCATTCATTGATTTGGAAGCACAAGCAGACTTGAAGGCAGAATTAAGACCATTGCAATTCAAGTCTATTAGAGAAATCGATGTTAGTGGAGGTAAAAAGGCTTTGGCTATCTTCGTCCCATGCCCATCATTGCCAGCTTACAGAAGAGTTCAAACAAGATTAACCAGAGAATTGGAGAAGAAATTTCCAGACCGTCATGTTGTGTTTTTAGCTGAAAGAAGAATCTTACCAAAGCCATCCAGAAGATCAAGAAAACTCCAGAAGAGACCAAGATCAAGAACTTTGACTTCTGTCCACGATAAGATCTTAGAGGACTTGGTTTTCCCAACTGAGATCGTCGGTAAGAGAATTAGATACTTAGTTGGTGGTAACAAGATCCACAAGGTTTTGTTAGATTCTAAGGATTCTACTGCTGTTGACTACAAGTTAGAATCATTTCAACAATTATATGCGAAATTAACTGGTAAGCAAGTTGTTTTCGAAATCCCAGGTGATTCTTTTTAAGTCTTATAAATTAAGAAAAGGTTAGTAAGAGATTGTGTGATCTAATAATGTTTGAATACTGAAAGATGAAGAGTCGTCATCCTCTTCATAGTTGTAAAAACAAAAATAAATTCTTCATCTAATTTTCTTGATTTATTTGGTATATATATCATTTTATCACATACACAAGTTCGTTCAGTTTAGAGCATTGTAACATAATATTGTGCGAGAGCTACGGCTCCTTTAACGTTTCAAACTTTTTTAGCGTAGCTTGTGGGGAAGAGTCCCCTTTCGCCATCTAATTCTCCTTCTGTCCATCCACTACCGTCGGTGTCTTCTTGAATAAGAATAATTCTATCTCCTGTCTTTACACTCAATTCGTCATCACCATCAGCTTCATAGTCATACAAAGCCTCGAGATACTGCACTCTCCTGGCCCCTTTTTTGGGAGCAACAGATGGCCCTTTCTTTTTTCCAGAAGGGGTAGATTCCCTAGAAATCTCGATATAAGAAGATGGAACCAAACCACTAGAACCTTGCGCAATTTGAACCATAGTCCATCCTGAACCATCGTCTTCATCAAGTATCTTAAAAGATTCTCCTGCTTCTAAGGACACTTCATCGTCCCCCGTAGCAGTATACGGATATAAAGCTTTACCAGTGGGTCCTCCATCGAATGGCGAAGAAGCATTGGTAGTTTCCTTATTCTTTCTCAAATTGAATATTCCTGAATGAAATGTATGATGGCTTGTGGCTGATTTCACAGTATGTAATGATTGATCATCAGATACTTCATTAGAGATACTACTGTGTTTTTTCCCTCGCAAAAAACCAAATTTAGATTTCTTTTGGGAATGGGTCTCGGAGTATGATAAGTCTTTGTCTCCCGCAAAGTTCTGTATAATTTCAACTTCAACCTCAGATCTAACTCTTTTAGTATCATTTTGCATAAATCTTTCTAAGAGGGACAAAGAAGCTATCAAGCTACTATCAAACTTCAAAGTGATATTGGCCCGATCCTTTTTCCTTTCCTGAATCGACTCCTCTAGCTTCTGTTTTAAATCTAAACACTGGTTCTCATACTTAGAATACTCATTTGAAGAAACTGCTACTCTTCTCTTTAGCTCAGTTAGCTCTGGCTCTTTTGTGATTAAGCTTTCGTCATCATGCCATATACTGCTCGGTATAAAATAGAAATCAGGCGGTTCAGACCATTCGGTTGCATTGTGCTTAATAAACATTGCCGTATCTAGCTTGGGGTTATTTTGGTCAATGGTAGCATCGACAGTATGCAATTTTTCTTTTATTCTATCATTAGAGTTTCTCTCTATAATAGATGCATTTTTGAGCAATTTATTAAGCAAACTGACTCTTCCTTCATTTAATTCTTGGAAATAGTCCAATAACTCAGGAACATCTTGAAAATAATACTTATCTTTTAATCTATTTGCCATGTTTATTTTTATGAGATAGTCATTTTTACCAATATTCATGTCAACTTCTTTATCACCTAATTTTTTTTGATGTCTATCAGTGGATGATTTCTCCACTTTTTGTCTTGCTCCTTCAGTGGACTGGCACAATACATCGTAGGCTTTTTTGGCCTTATTTACTTCTTGCTCAACTTTCTCTCTCTCGCCTACTAGATAATCATCAATTGACTCTATCCTTTTGGATACATTTTTAGATCTTGATCTTAAGAGAGATATATTCTCGCTTATTTTTTGCAACAATTCATCTCCAAACTTCAGCTTCTCTTCTGATATTGCTTCCGTTTGGGTTAAAAGCTCGTTCCACATCACTAGCGATGCACACTCCAATGACCCTGGAGTAACTTGTGGCTCATCTCCCACGGACAACTTTGCAGAAATCTTGGCCTTCTTTTCAAATTGTATCTTTGTAAGCTCTTTGAGCTTAGCCGAGTACTCTTTCTCTAAAGAAGCCCTACTCCTATAAAAATCCTCTATATCTTTGAGCCATTCAATTCCATTACTTATCCACTTCGAAGTTGGTTTGAAGCTGTCCTTCAATTCATTTCCGATCGAGAGCTCTTCAACAGACATTGTGATTTATACAATTGAGCCTTGAACACTGTTCAAACTTTACTTCGGCTTCAATGGCTCAATTTTTTTTTGATTCAACCAAAATTGTAGTCAATATTTAAATGGGTCAAATCGAACCCAAATATCTTATGTCGCTATTATCAATGTCGTACCGATAAACCAAATAAGAGTTTGCAACTATGATAATATAACGATGTAACTGCAACACAAGAATTGCAACACATCGACCATCTTCATCAAGGTATGCATCACAGCAAAAATAAGTTGGTCTTCAAAGAATAAAGGGTCCTTTTTTATCCTCCTAGCCGGTTAAGCTATTTTTTGACTAACAGGGTAGCGAGTGCCAGTTCTCGATGGCAGTTTCCCAAGACAAACGAAAACCATATCGGATGGTGAGATAAATTACCAACATCTGAGCACACTCTTAACGAAAAGTTCATTTTCTTCATATCTGCCCTCAAAAAAAGATAAGACTGTAACAGGCTTATGTAGATTACCAAGATCTCTAATTGACTTGAAGTTACTTATATGATTTCAGAGAAAGGAGATATGGTAAAGGAGCATCAATTGTAATAGAAAATTGAAGATTTGTTTATACGATCATCGCAATGAGTGGTTGAAGGGTAGTTTTGCTTCATTTCTAGCATCTTTAAGTCTTCTTGGTATTTTTGTGTATATGCGCGACTATATCAAAAGCGGATCTGAGTTCTGATGCCTTTTGATATTTGGGTCTGAATCGACAGATACACAACAGAAACGAGCTATAAGGCTAAATTCAAGGTGAGGGGCAGAAAGATTCTTAAAATCGCTTCAGCGCTACTTTTTAAGAGGCTGTCACAGCAACATCTTCAACAGCGTGCTCCTCGGAAGTCTAAGTTCAAGCTAATTTCAGATATCTATAAAGATTATAGGGCTTTAAACAAGTTCAGACCAACTCGAAAGTTCGGCGCCATCAGATCACAACCGAAGAAAAGAATTATAAAGCCGATGAGCTCAATATCGGATCACGTTGACGCCCAACCTGACCTTAGTCCTACAGCGTCAAATACGAGCAATCTCTCGAGGCGACAACGGCTACTCGGATTAGCCAAGGCAACGAGAGATACATATATTCCTAGGATCTCAGGCTCTGTCTCGCAGATTGCATCTGGCGTGTCCAGTAGAGCTTTTGGTACAGGGAATGACTTATACGACGAGGATGGCAACTTCAAGTGGCCGAAGGATACTTCGATAACACTCTTTCCGTCATACACAAGACACTGCGATGGATACTACTATACAGATGTTAAGGGTTGGCTTTCATGTCCTGGACTAATGACAAGAAAAAATAGGCTAATTTTATCTTTAGCGAAACAGGTTATAAGGTACAATTCTGATCAAGCAGTAAATAAATTAGAAAGTGAAAGATTGAGACCAGATGTATTGGCGAGTCATGAGAACAGTTCCTCAGATCTAGATTCATTACAGTCTGATTCTTCTTCTTTGAATACTACATCTACACTTGATGCACTGCAACAAGATTTAACACGCCCGCCTACTAATTCCTCTATGCTGACACATGGCGATGACCTAATTCGAGAGAGATTAAAATCTTTTATGGCAAGATCAATACCCGATGCTGAACTTTTGATAGTTGTTGGTGCAGAAGACGGCATGAGTTCAAATGACTTAGTTCATTTAACTGTAGTAACCGATATAAATGGTCATTTTGAAACTCGAATTAAGTATAATTACAAACCGTCTATATTACATGTTCGAGCGAATGACAATGAATTCATATTTGCATTTCAAGATATTATGTTAGTTCCTAATACTGGTGTGGGTGTAATAAGTGACATTGACGATACCGTGAAACTCACTGGAGTCATTGGCGACAAGAGAGAACTAATGACCACGTTACTATTGAAGGACATGTCACTGTGGTGTATTCCACGTATAGCTCAGTGGTTTAACGAATTGAATGATCGCTATCCTCTTTCGTTCCATTATGTTTCCAATTCACCATGGGAGATGTTTACTACCATAAGTCAATATTTCAAAATTGCGAAGCTTCCACCTGGATCAATACATTTGAAGCAATATACCGGTAATATAATTGGATCATTCATGGAATCGAGGTCTTCGAGGAAAAAGAGAGCACTTAACAAAATATTGGATGACTTCCCTCATAAAAAATTCATTTGTGTTGGTGATTCAGGAGAGCAAGATTTGGAAGCCTACGTTGACTTAGCAAAAAATAACCCCAACAATATAGCGAAAATATATATAAGATACGTGGCTGACTCACTCTCTTATATCGACGACATGCATATATTAGATGAGATCAAAAGGCTAGTATCAGTCAAGAAAAGCAAATCAAAGCATATTCCCCCAAAGCATGCATACACAATAAGTAATGATGAAATTGAAAATCTCATTGACTTATCTGACTCACCATCTCCACTTGCAGCCGAAAGGCTGGCCAAGCTCCCTCCTATGATTCCAAAGAAACCAACTAATCTAAAAGGAAATCTCGTTCGCAAGCCCCCACTACCAAGTAGAGATAAGTATCTCTCTAGGTTATCTGAGGATCAAGCTAGAAACAATGAGAAAGGAGATATAAAAAATTCTCCTGGGGAAATGACAAGTCAGGTGCCAAGGTCTAAAACGTCCTCTTCCGTTGATAGCAAGCTAATTGATAATTTACACAACATTTATTACTCGCACAATTACGATGAGTTAGAAGACACAGACAAAAAAGGAGCTCAGTGGATCCATAGAGTATTATCTGCTCTTACAAGTTTGGAAGGCTTATCAACAGATCTTGAATTCTTCACTGACGAAGATGAAGAATTTTTTGAAAAGAGTGCTTCAGATATTCAAAAACTTTTTGTGCAAAAATGAGGTACCTGCAATTAATAGAACTAGGAATATAATGTAAATCGTGCTTATAATATATTATACAGGGGAGACTAATTGTTCGGATCATTACGATTAAATTACTAAATCAGAACTTACAGTGTATTTGTTAAAGTACCATTAGAGGTACCATTGGCAACGGCGGCTGTAGGTTTCGAATTATTTTCTGAATTAGATGAAATTCCGTTCGAAATTTCGTATTTCTCTTTGACAGGCTCATCGGCAGCAGCCTTATCTTGTCTGTATAACTCTTCGGTTTGACTCCCATCACCGTAGTCCTTTATTTCACTATCATCGGGTAATTCTTTACGGAATTCTGACAAGTCCCATTCAGGACCCTCATCTGTATCACCATCTTCAGTGTAATATTTGTCGGCAAGCTTTTCCATAATAATTTCTCTACCTGTGAGGGATCGTTTGCCCAGCTTTTCATCAACCTTTTTCTTCTCATTCGCCCTTTTTTCTATCTGTTTGGCCTTCCAATCATTAAAAGACTCGATTGTGATCGGGGTAAAGGAGCTTTTATCAAGCTTTCCTCTTTCAAGTTCGATAAAGTCTTCCAATGTGATCTTCGGCGCACTGTCAGCTGCCAACTTTTCTAGTTTCTTTTGTTCTTTCGTCTTCAAGACGAAACCAGGAGGTAAAGAATGTCTATATTTACACTCACTCCCGCCATTTGGACATACCCAAAACCACCCATATTTACCGTTTTCGACAGCGTCAATAAAATACTTACATACTTTATCAGTAGTGGTTTTTAAGTTGCCATGCTTGGACAAGATAACTTTCCTCAATTTTTCTTCGTCCCAATTGTCCATCGTATCATTCTCTTTCTCTGTCCTTGCATCTGTATATAAATCCTTCTTTGCATCTTTTCTTCCAACATTTACATCATGAGAAAATTTACACTTGTTGCCCTTATTACAAAGACCCTTTTTGAAAAATTCGCATAAGATGGATTTTGGATCTACACCAAATGGAACCTTTTGTTGCTGAATTCCGAATAATGCGGCAGCTTCCCTTTTAGCATCTTCAGCTGCCTTCTTTTCAGCTGCTCTTCTTTGATTATCTTCCTCTTTCTTCTTGGCTAAACCACCATCTGCGCCAGATTTGATTTGATGGATCTGTTGTTGAACTTTTTTCGACTTGTTCTTGTTCTTCAAACCAAAAGTCTTATCTTCAGCAGATTTTGCTTTAGCTTTAGCTTTATTCTTATCTGATGGCTGCTGCTTCTTTGGTGGCATTTTAACTAACCCAGTGTCAGTTTACTCTAATCTTTGCTAACATCTTCAAATTCTTCAAGTTATATGAAAGAACTTTGATGAAAAATGTGCACGTGATAATTATTCTTTAGGCTTCACTTTCATTCTGAGCTCACTACAAAAGGCTGCGAAAGTACTGCATTCAAAGATTTTATATAAATTTATTTTGAATGTGCATCAAGACTGTCTATCTAAACTTTTGAGATACCCTTTTCTTGTCCTTGAGTTTGGGTGTCGACACATACCCACCTGGAGCAGAGTTTGGAGGACTATTAACAGAGTGACCAGCTAAACTGCTTTGCTTACCATTATTCCAGTTTTGGTTTTGTACAGCCAATTCTGGGGATAAGCTACTAGTAGAACCATTGGGAGACGACCTAGGCCCACGCTTCGATTTTCTTTTATTACCAACGAGAAAGTGATCGAACATAGAATGTTCTGTCATCGTCAGCGGCAGGGGGCGGCTTTCCTGACCAAAGTCTATTGGTGCTATCGACGGTGACCCATATATTGAAGATAGTGCAGGTGTTGCAATATGTGACTTCGACAGCAGAGATACATTATGATGCTCATAAACCGTCGCCCCTGGGGAAAGAGGTGCATTTGGGATTTCGAATTTATTTTTCAAGTTGCTTTTGCTATGCCTAAAAGGAATATAAGATCTTCTAGCATGCGCAGGTGATACGTTGCTAGCGACATTAGAAGTTCCAATTGAATCAGCCAAGCTTGTCTTAAATGAAGTATTAGATTCAGTTCTTGCCAAACTTCTATTTAAGATCAAAGACGCCTTCTTATCATATACGACAGGGACTGGGTCCATCTTCGGCATTGCATCAGCACCACCCGGGTGATGAATATTGTGAGACATATCCTGAAAATGGCTACCATCATGTCGCGCACTTTTCAAAGTTGGTATTGCGTTCACGCCATTTGGATCGGAATCTCTTGTGAAGAATGAATCGAAATCATCTAAAGCGGCCCACATATTGCTCAAGGACGCATCTGGCTCATCGATACTTACAGAGACTGTATCAGCATAATCTGTAACTGGCGCATAGTAGTCATCTAGGTGAAATTGAATCTCTTCATCCTTGCCTTCCTCATCATTCTCGTCCACGTAAGTTGGAACTGCGCAAGTAGAAAATACAGCATGAACATTGTTTCTCGTACTTGCTGCGGTGATCGCTGGCATTGGAATTGCCCATCCATTCTCATCAGGTATTCCAAAAAGCGTGGCAGTTTTTTCATACTCTTTCTTCATTGACTTGTCACCCAAACTCATTCTCAATACATCTTTATCAAGTTGTGATCCAGAAATGATGACTGCTTCATCCAAAACTTCAAGTGCAGGCTCAGCGAAGTCTGTTAAAAGTAGTCTTAATAAAGGTGAAATCAAATCCGCTCCTACTCCAACAAACTCATCTCTTTGTAAGTCAACTAATGGAAAAATATATTTTAAAAGGCTCATAGTCTCTAATTTGATCCAGGGCTTGCTATTTGACAAAAACCCTAGTAATAGAACTAACACTTGCGCTTCGTACTGTGGAAAGAATAGATTTTTTATTGTCAAGATGCTTTGAACAAGGAAATCCTTTTTAGACCTAAACCTATTTTTGGCTAACGAAACCAATATTCTTGACAAATCCGGCTTGTTATTATTATCAGCTAGCTTGCTAATCGCTAACGCAGTATCGGCAACATCTTTTGATACTGTTCGGTTGTCCAATGAGTGTAAAAATCGTGGGAGATTTGCTATAACCGCCAACATCAACCTTGAATCCCCTTTCCCTATTATTTCACTATCCTTCAAATGATTTAGCTTATCAAAAAATTTCATAGTCGGCTCCCAAGATGTGGATGACCTTAAACCAACCATTATAACTTGAGGTAGTCCTTCAAATTTTCCCTCCCATTTCGGTGGAAATGTTGCGATCAAGCAGGAAACGGTGTCAGGAGAATCAAGATCTATTTTAGATACAAATTTAGACATTGTAGAAAGTACCTCGATATATTCTTGCTCATGGATCGTACTTAGACATGCAACGCTAGACCAAAATAATTGAGGAAAATCAATCAACTTTTCTGAATCCAATTCAGCAGTTATCGCATTGAGAGTCATTAAAATTTGCATTGCAAATCCTTGGATATCTAATGTTTCATCAGATATAGTATTTGATAAACGATGAAGCATGTCTTTGAGCATACTCTGATCTAAGAATGATAGTAAAGACCTGAACAACTGAAAGGATCGACAAGCAATATGCCTAACGGCACAACTTGTGGCCCAATTAAGAGACATTCTGCCCCATTCATCTTGCAAAGAAGGCAATACTGGAGAAAATATCTCCAATATGTTTCGTGCTAAGACATCCATATTTCGTGGTGTCCTAGCCCCTTTCTTATCATTATTCAAATCATCATATACCCACAAATTCTTGAAATTATCTCGTTGTCGTAATGCTTTAATTGTGTCTAAAGATTTGGGCTCATGAGGTGCAAGAGACTGAATTAAGTGAATCAACATTGCACCGGCTTGTTCCTGAACTACTAGAATATAATGATCAAGTAATGAAAATGATACATGCAATAACAAAGGCAATCTCTCAATCATCTTATCATTTCTTGTTGTAAACAAATCCACTAAAAATATCATAGATAGTTGACCAACTGAGAAGGCAGCATCTTTTTCGTTGAAAGGTATGATGGACCAAAGATCAGCAATATAAGGAAATTCAGGGAATGAGTCGTAAGAAGTTGCCACAGAATGTGGGAGCGGTGGAACCATGAGCTTCGGTTGTAAGTTATTGATGAACTTGTCAATAATATATAAAGGGTCAGGTTGAGAGAAAGTCAAATAATCTATTATTTGCCTCGAGTACTCAACAAAGAGTGGATTCTTTCTTTCCAAACAATTACTAATAAGATATTCTATGATCTTATCAAAATTATTGTTACTATTCCCCAAAGCAACCCAAAATGCTTCAACCTCATTTGAAATTTTAGAGCTAAATCTAACCGTAATTTCAAACAAATTGTTCAAAACCATGATAGACTCTGGCTTGAGTTTATTTATGGTCTCAGGTTGTTTGCTGTTTTGCTTTTCATTTTCAGAGGATTCTCTGTCTTTTAATTCCACCTTTTGCATCCAAGGAAGTAGACATGAGAAAATGTCGCCTCTAGAATCACTTCCGACAAGATTGAAGTATTTCGTGAAATAGCTTATTTTATAAATTGATGCCTCAGGATGGTTCGATGCGAGAAGGACAGATATATCATACAATGCCTTTTTATAAACGACTTTTGTTTTACTGCAGACTGACTCTGTAAAGTTCTCAACTTGAGTATCACCGTAAAGTTCTTTTTCGAGATGCTTCAAAAGGTTCATCGCCGAAAACCTAATTTCATAACTGTCATGCCCCACCAAAAACGATGTCAAACAGAATAAGTCATAGTGAATCCTGTCTAGTTTTCCCTGTTCTAAAAATGCATCAACAAACGTAGTGAAATAATTTTCTGTCGTTGTGGCGTATCTCTGGGTGGTGTAACATTGTTTCAACACGTCCAGGTAAATTATTTCGTTTTTAAAGTTTAAGGACAAGACATTTTTTAATGCAATTTTACCATATTCATGCACTTTATCGGATTCTGCAGATAACAAAGAGTGGATCCAGCTCATTAAAGCTGTTATATCAAATGACATTACAGCGACACTACCTGGAACTTCAATCAGTTGTTTGAGGGGCCCAGCACACAAATTAGCCATGCTACTTAAAGATGCGAACAGTAATGCCTTTCTCTCTATCTCAAGGATTGCGACAGCTGAAGGTGCATCTTTTCGATGAGTTACATGTTTAAGCATTGCTTCGTACCTATCTTCAGCAATATCGCTTCCCTCACCATAACCGCACCATTCTTTTAAAAAGTTGAAGCAACCTATTCTGGCCTCAAATGGAAGCCACTTGTTCCAATTCGGTGTCTCTTGTAATCCTGAAAATACATTTTCTAAAAAGACGCAGAAAAATCGACGCAACCTTTGAAAATCAATGTTCACCTGAATAGAAGGATTTGATAAGAATGCTTTGACATTCTTGATTATAGATACCAAATTTGCAACCATCCATTCGTCAGAATATATTGACGTATTCTTAGCGAATCTCTTTGTGATGTTGTTAAGGATATGAATTATCTCGACCCTTAATCGATCCTCAGCGGGATCCCTTCGTTTATCAGTGTTCCAATCGTTCAAACTTGGTGGCAAATTTTCCAAAAGAGTCCTGAATATATTAATATTTATGCAACTCAAACCTGAAATCACTGCATCTCGAACCATTTGTTGTTGTGATCTTAAAAAGGGCAAGACCATTCTAAAAACTGATTTTGCACTTGTAATCTTTTGGTGTTGAATGAACATCTGCATTGATCTTTTTCTTCCGTGAGTAGGTTGGGAGGGGAATGATATTTTTTGTTCATTTGTTGACGTCAATGAGCAGCATGCAAATATTAAGTATACTTTCCACTGAATAACTAAAATTTCCGGCGGCGTGGAATTGGTTGACCTTGAAAATAGTGATGTCGTATAGGTTTTGGAATACGTAGAGAATTCGTGAACAAGTTCATGCATCTGTACTAATCGAACGCAGACGATAGATCTGCACATCGCAACTGGCATGGGACATTTTTCGAAAAATATATCCAACAATTTTGGGAAGAGTCTGAACCAAATTGTTGAATCGATGCCGTGATCAGATTCAGCTATTTTGACCAATATCCCTTTCTTTGTTTTCAACTTCGAGAGTCTACTACGCTCAGGAACACTCAATTCTTTTCTATATGGCCTAATGAGCTCCACGAAATCACTATCCTCCAATATGTGTATAAGTCTTGTGCCAACGTCAGCAGCGAACTTCGACGAGCTTCTTGAGTGAGTTTTTGAAGTTTGGTTCGAACCACTAGGACTAATCAGTCTATTGTGGGGATTATCTGTAATGTTATAAATCGCTTGATCAAATTTTTCAACCAATTTTAATATTGAAATCCCGAAGTGCCTTGTCTGCGAGTCATGCGAGCAGAGAAAGAATAAACCATTTCCCTCCACTTCTTCGATTATCGTGATTATGGACTTCCATTCAATTTCCTCTGCCGGCTTCGCTTTTGTTGTGGATGATATCAAATCATCTCCAGTGTAATTGATTTGATAAAGATCATTTAATACATCTTTATTCATCAATTCATCATCAACAGACTTTACAGCTGAAGAATCTAAATTTCCTGAAGAGTCTCTATTAAATTGCTTCAACCAGCAATTTAATAGGTCTACGTAGATTTTCAAAAGTCTCTGAAATTCCGGAGAATTACAATAGTCAGTATTGTAGATTGGAGTAGGTTTGTCACTGAATTGGAAAGCTACCTTCGCAAATATAGTTATTAGACTACTTGGATTCTTTCTTGATGCTAACCTTTTCAAAGCGCTGATAGCGACATTTGCGATTGCAAAGTTTGGATTTATGGCATTTCTAGTTAGAATCTCCACAACCGTTTTGAACTGAATTCCTGCAACTGTACTATTGTCACTAGAAAGGGGAACCATGGTGTATGGTATTGCATCAATTAAGGTGGAGAATAATTGGACGTGTAGGTCTTTTGATGCCAGGTAAGAAAAATCAATCCCAAAATGAAATGCTGAAAACGGAGATTGCGATTTTGAGGTATTCATAGAAATAGGAGTCGACAGTCCATTGGCCTCCGTCAATAAGACGTCCGAGCCATATTCGGAGTCCAATAATTTTAAGAGGACTGCAAACGAACGACATAATTCTTCATGAGATGCCGCATTGTTAGCATTCTTAGCGTTGAACAAAAAGTCGCTGCGCTTTACATCTTCAAAACCGACTTCACTTTTTCTCTTTTTCTTGTCATCAGTGCTTGGCTGAATCATAGAGCTTCCTGTCACATCATTTAACGGAAAATCTGGTTCCTTTCCTATCTCGTGGTCTTCTAAAATGAGTAAATAACTCTTAACAATTAAAATCATTTTTTCAGGTATGAGATTATCAAGTGATGATCCATTGAAACTTATGCTTAAAAGCTTTATCAAAACATTATCTAGAACGTAATTCAAGTGCTGATACCCTATGACCCTAATAAATTCAACTAAAGAACTTAATAAATATGGGTCTGCGTTGATCCACTGGTTCTTTTTACTAACTGCGCTGCTACTGAAAAATAGCAAATTAAATAAGTTATCAAGTTTCCTGATGGTATTGTTCAAAGTATCAGGTAATCGATAGGTATAAACCCACAATAGTCTGGTTATGCAAATGATATAAGTTGTTCTTCCATCTATGTCAGATTTTGGTTTAAGCTTAAACAAGTTATCTTCAATTATACTGAACCATACCGAGGAAAACAACTCCTTATTTGATACAGAAAGAGCTGCAGTTTGGAGTCTCAATGCATGGGCCCAGCCACTTTTAGATCCTTCCCCCGATGATGCGATGCTAGATTTATTTACTTGATTCCAGATTTGGGTTGCTTTACCGAATATCTTCTGCAAAGCAGCTATCCATGTAGGATGGTTTGTCTCTGCAGTGAGTATATTTGCAAGGGGAATTAGTAAGTTACTCAAAACTTCACAATAGGCAAAAATTATAGACTCGTCTCCCGCTTTTTCGAAGAACTTCGCCAATGACAGGATAAAGTCGGCACTTTCTTCAAATACTTCTAATGGATAGTTTGTGAGTTTCAAATATCTCATTCCACTGATGAGAAGATGTAATCGAGGAATGTCAGAAGGGTTGACGTTTGTTGGAACCTTTTCAAGATCTGCGATGAATCTATCGCTAACACTCAAAAACCTTTTCTCAGACATGAAACCTAAAAGCTCAGCAAATAAGTTCCAATTAGCCGACCTTATAAGTGATTCACTAGTGCGAATAGGATCTGTCGTTTTCAACTGCGAATAGACAATTTCTTCTAGCTTGTCACCTAGGTCTTCTCCTAAAACTTCATTTGAAGCTTGCTTTACGACTTCGATCAAAACACGACATAATATGTAAATTGACGCCAAAGACTTTCTATCTGCGTGTATTGCAGTCTCTTGCACCTTGGATATTCTCTCATTATAAAATGCCCTTTGTTCATCAAGTTCTTGTTCGAACTGCCTTGCCTGCTCAACATTTGGAGAACGACTTTTGTTACTTATCGCAGAAGTGGATTGATGACGATGGTGTCCCATTGCTATTTTTGAAATACTCGAAGACCTAATTAAACTGAAGCTTCTTTTCGCTTTTTCGTTTGAGGTTGAACCTTTGACAACGTTTGGATTAGTAGGAGAATTTTGTGTAGAAGAAAATTTGGACAAATTAACCTTGGCTGTGTCAAGCGCCCGCTCGACCTCTGAAGCTGCCATTGAAGCAACTTCGCTCTTCGACTTTCTCCAAAACATAACACTATCAATTACTGGTTTCGGCTTTTTACGTGCAGTATATCCAAGGGATACAATGACCTGGTCAAACTCAGTATCTGCACCCTCCGATAATAAATCAACTATTGGTGGTTCTTCAGTCAATGGATATTCCAAGCATAAGTTTAGCATACGTTCAGCATGACAGACGAATTGAGTAAATATGATATGTAACGTGTATTCTGCAGGAGTCTTCAGATCCGTTGCCAATCCTCGGCGTATTGATCTGAATTCCTCTCCATTCGACATCGTTAGCCTTTGCATGGATGTCAGTGATAGTGGAGGTGGCAATTGTGGTGATGGTCCGACATATTGCGGTAGTTGAGACACTGGTGATGTCAACTGTCGATTCAATGCATTATTCGAGTTAAAGGTGTAGTCCTTGAGTAAATTTTTGGGCGTATTAGGGGCGTCATCTTCTGAATAGCTCTGGTTAGAGTATGACTTTTCATGAATACGAGGAGGATCCTGTAATTTCGAATTCATGTGTACTTCAGACGCTTCCATCATAGGCTCAGAATCACCAACATCCACGGGGTTGATTCCGTCCCCTATTGCACGTACAGGGATGGCCTCTGCGGTATTAAACTCAACTACTTGTGGGTTAACATCGTAGGGCGTAGTCAACATCAGAGTCTCTTTAGGCTCCAACTCCGGTTTGTAAAAAGATATGTTTAGTCCATGGGCTTCCTCGTTGGCATTCGTAATCACATGTTGCGTTGAAGACATCTGGGACTCTAGCGGTCTTACTTGATATTCTTCTGGATTTATATTTATGCTTGTTGACATTTCTTGTGGTCCATCATTATCGTAAATTTCTCCGTTATCCTCCCATTCTTCCTCTTCATCAGGTGGGTAGCTACTACCATTCGTCGCACTAATTGAATTATAAGGAATATCAACACTTTTGTTTATATCAATCAGAATCAGTTGTTCTTTCTCTTCGTCTAGATCATGGCCACTATGACCATTCTCTGAAGTAGAATATGTGGCCATATCTTCTAGATCAGGGATTTCGATCATATTATCGGACCTATTCACAGATCTACAAGAAGTATTCACTATGTGTTTCCTTGATTGATTCTCTTCGTTTAATACTCTAAAACTTACCATACTCTTAATGAGAGTTTCCTGCCTAAAGAAATGTAGAGGTCGCGGATTGATTTTTCTTAAACGGGCATCAGATGACATATTTTCTACTAGTAACGAGGAGGGTCTCGACAACGACATGCTACGCCAAGGGGTTCTTATATCTCCTCTTGAATGATCTTCAAAAGAATTCTATCTTTAGAAAGTAGGGGTTTCATGTAAATTTTCGAAACCATGCTGTGACAGAAGATCCCATTCTGCACATTGGTACGCCCAGATAAGCTTCCAAAAGAATTGAGATGTAAATTTCTTTAAAATTCATGCAAGAATAGCTATATTTTAATACATGCCTTTCAACGGAAATGGAATCTAAAAATGAGAAGAATACAGATACTCTAACTCTTATAAGTCAATATATTGCAAGTGCTAATGATGAAATTTCTAGCAATCCTTATGCAGTTGGACTCTCAGAAATGATGGCGAGAGACGAAATGAGCTTGTTAGAACTTATCCAGCAATTAGGACCCAACCTTACTTCAGACAAAGACCTGATCCGATCGAGGGCGATTTCATGTCTCGTGGATACCTTGAAAGAGCTTAAGCAGCTGAAGCTCAGTAGGCATGATATAAATGTTCTTTTGGACTTTTTCTTAGCCAAGATGGAAGATCAGAATTCAGTTCAACAGGCGTTATCTGGTTTGAAAACGATCATGGAGTTTAAGACGTTTCATCCAAAATTGAATGACAATTTACTTAGAATACTAGAAGTCCTTTTGAAATCATATGAACCTAGAAAGTATTTAGCAAGAGTAAGATATGAATCTTTTGAAGTGTTGAGTACCGCAATGGAACACCATTTGCAATTTCTTCAGTCGAACCAAGAAGTTGCAATTGCTTATGTAAAATCTTTTATCCATGTTGCTTCAGGTGAGAAGGACCCTAGAAATTTACTTATTTCTTTTGAACTAAACAAGCAGATCAGTGAAGGTTTATGTTTCATCGGAACTGTACACAATGAGGAGTTGATAAATGAGTTGTTTGATGTTTGCTTTTGCTATTTCCCAATTTCCTTCAGTCCTCCTGAGAATGATCCTTATAAGATTACTGCTGATGATTTAAAGCTAAGACTTAGAAGCACTATTGCCTCTAACAGCTTGTTCGCGAAAGACTCGTTTCCAAGTTTATTTGAGAAGCTTACATCAACAAATATCCTCGTTAGAAACGATGTGTTACAGACTTTGTTACGTTGTGTTATCTCATATAACCAAGAAACGATATTGCAGTACTATGTGACAATTTGGAATGCGTTGAAGTTTGAAGTCTTACATAATGATATATCAGAGTTTTCGCCTAATTCAAGAGACTTAATTCCTGATTATGAGAAAATAAGTGACACTGATGAACTTAAACCCTTGGTATTAGCATTGCTAATCATCAAAGAACTTAGCTCCACCATGTGTGATACTGAGTCTTCTGAAGCCTTTCTTGAGATGGTTACGAATGAGCTAAATGATAATTTGAAGACTATCAAGAGCAAGCTTTTCAAGCACTCAGTCTTATTGTTGAGTGTTGTTGCTTCAAGTTCAGATGTCGCATTTAACTTTATTGTTAAGGATTTATTCTCTTACAATATTTGGGGTAAATTCATTAACCTAGAGCCTGAGGAACCGTCGCCAGCAGAAAATGTGGATGCCATTGACATCTCGGAAGACATTTTGCTTGATATAGCTAACCAGAGAGATTTGGTAGATTGTTTGGGATTCATTTTCTCCTCTTACAAGTGCTTAGCTGCGACGGCTAATGATAGTCTGCAATTCTTAGCTAATAACTCCTTAAGGAAATATAAAGATTATCTACTTATATTTTTGGGTCTGTTGCTAGGATCGTCTTCCAGTTTAGAAAGAACTTTAAGGTGTAAGGTTGTACAACAAATGACTAAACTGATAACCTTACCAAAATATTTGACCTTGCAGGATGTTCAATTGGTCCTTGGTTACTTCAGCGAAACAATGATTTCGCTCATGGAAGAAGAAAATAATTGGGAAAAAGATGTAGTAGTTGAAGAAATTGTGCAAGGCTTAAGAGTTATCGTGGAGGATCATAGCCCCATCGATGAACAAAAACTTGCAAAGACTTCCTTGGTTATTGAGATTTTTTTGCCTCCCTTATTTGATCGCTTAAGTTTCGACGATGGTTCATCTTGCAACTTGGCACAGTTCAAGAAGGTTTTATATATTCTTAAAGAACTATGTGTTAATTACCAAATTTTGGAAGTTTACTCAGTCCGCTTGTTAAGCAAATTGGAACCTCTTGAAAGATCGCTGATAATACCTATGGATTCGAAAATTGAAATTTTCGAAGAAGTCACAATTTTATTCAGTGAATGCATATATAAAGTGGAAGTGATAAATCAATTTTTAACAAACTCATGGTACAGAAATTTCGTGCCTAGATTCTTAAGTTTGTTATATAACTTAACGTCGCAGAAAAATGATTATTTACTTGAATTAAGTAGTGATGTGATTGGCTTGATTGTAAAGTTTACGGATGGTTCCAAACATCAGGAAATTTTCGATGATTTTGTCAGATTACTTCTCATGAATAAACCTGTTTTTGAAAATGTGAGAGCCCAGAACTTAATAGAGGACCCCAATTCAACAATTACGTTATTCAACAAAGTTTTATCCAATATTGATAAATCTGTTGAAGTCAATTTAGTTGATGTGAAAACAGTAATTTCTCTGGAAATTGATGTCATTTATGAGATCGAAGGAGATGATTTATTGAGATTAAACTACTTGCAGAATATTGCATTGTGGACAAACAAGTTTGTAATACTGAAGTCCGAATTAAATTTCGTTGAGAATAAGATGGAATTTTTGTTTTCTGAAATAGTTATAGAAAGTGATAAGGAATTTAGCACTCACATTATCAAGAGCTTTGAGGTCTTGATTTGGCTTATCAAAGCACTTGTTTTGAGAAATTGCGAAATAGGAACCACCTACTTATTAAAGATCATTGGTTTATTGCAAAACAAAAATCAAAGAATTAAAGAATTGGCAGCAAATTCATTGGACATTATATTTATTGATTTGCCACTCTTTAAAAATCTGACTCCAAAGGTAAAAAGAATTATATCGAAGGTCGCAAACTTGAATGTGAGGTTATTATATAAACAACAAAACTTTGAATTAATTTTACCAAAGTTAATCGATGGGTACACAGAGACCAAAGATGAATATTACTTGCTTTCCATGTCTTTAATTTTGAAAAATTTGCCTAGTAATATACTCAGGCCCCATTTGAAGACCATTTTACCATTAATATTAAACAGCTTACTGATAAAAAACTCCACAACTTTAAATGCATCTCTATCGACTTTGGACGTTATCATTAATGAAAATCCAGATTTGATTGTGCCACACGTGTCCTCCATAATTCCTAAATTGATTGAGTTATCGGTTGGCAAAGTTGCTAGCAACAAAAAGTTGGTGAACGACGTAAGTATTAGACTTCTTAGCTTGGAATGTCTTTCAAGTATTATCGGAAAGATTGACTTACAGTATCTTCTCAAATATAAACACAATTTGATACAGAGCTTGGAAAAAGGTTTAGATGATAAAAAAAGAGATGTCAGGAAGTTGTGTTCTGACTTACGCCAGGCTTTGTTTGAACTTGGAAGGTAGTAGAGACAGTTTAGTATAAATTTTCAATATTCTCGGAGATTAATGAATAATTTGTTATTTTTGCGAAAATCTAAAAAAATATAGAACTCATAATATAAGGCTTATATTTAATCTTGATTCTATGTTCTTTTCAGTAAATACAAGAGTCTACGAAACTTTTTATGGAAATTTAGCGTCAGGAAACAGTAAAGAGATAGCAACAGTCCCGGAAAGCAATGCATTTTTATTCTAGTCAAAAACTTCTATATGATGATCTTTATTCTTCATCTGAATCTTCCAAGTCAACTGGGGCAAGACCAGGAGTTAGACCAGGGTAGGATATCAAACCATTCCTAATCTTATCATCAAATTCCGCTTTCTTAGATTGTTTTCTCTTCTTTTTATTATCGTATTCTTTCAAGCTATCTCTCAAAATATCTCTTTGAATTTTGTTAAATTCGCTTTTCGTTTCATAGTCCTCAAATTCACTTAATTTATTAACAGCAACAGCATTTTTGCGTACCAATTTCTTTAAATACTTTTCTTCTTCCACAGTTAATTTGTTATTAGCTTTACGTTGCTTTATTATGTTGTATTTAGCAAGCTTCGTGAAATCTTGAGATTCCTTTAAACTCTTCCGTATTGATTTATTTTTACTCTTCTTATTCTTCAAATTTTTCCTCCTCACTTCCGAAGCACTTGGAGTCTTCTTTTTAACTTGCATGTCGACAATCTCTGCCTTAGAGAAGACTTTTCTCTTTGCGCTATCATCCTTTTTTATTAAATCAGGCAGTATCTGTCCAATTAGCTTATTCACAGTTATTTGCGCCAGATTCTTAGCTCTTTCTGAATTAAAGGACGACATGCTGCCTTTGTGATAGAACTGGAAGATGCTGATGCTGTTATGTGTGTGTTCAAGACATGTAAGCTTCGCATTATTGGCGATGAGCAGCTATCAAGAGATCCAAAAACTGCATATAAGACAAGGTTATTTTTTGCTTCAATATGAATACGAGCCAAAGATTCATAGTAATTATGGTAAAGACCAAAACATAATGAAAGGCTGTTTCTACGAATACCGAAAAGTAGATGCGCTAGAGAAATGGAATGGGCTCTTCATTATTTTTTAAATTCCTCTAGCTTTACGTCGCATCGAAGTGAAGTAGATTGAAGAAAAAGAACGGAAATAATGGATTAGTAACTCGTAGAATTTGGTTCAAAGACAAACCTATATTATTTAATGTTCTCTTTAGCTCAATGACTACGAGTGAGTCGATCGATAAGTTCCTGATGTGTAGACTATTAGCTAATGGCAATATTCTCCAGATTGATAGGTCGTGCAACAGCACAGAAAATCGTTGACTTTCAAGTTCACTCTTAGGTCAGGTAATGTTCGTACTACGGTTACATATTAAACTTAACATCACTTAAAGAATTAAAGAGTGAGATTTGATATAATTTTCTCAAGTTTTTCAAGTTGGATTTTTTTTTGATATATAGAACGATTTGTTTAAAAGTTTGAGGGCGAGTCTGAAGGATTATTGAGAATATATTGATGGAATAGGAGGGAAGAATTTTGAATTCTAAACTGAACTAAAGACTTGTATTTTGAAGACATATGAACATTAATTCAAAATATCAACAAAATGGGCCAGTCTCTGGCCAGTCGGGGTTACAAGCGCAACAGATCTTGCTTCAACAACTACAACAAGGCCAATCACAGCAACTGCACCCGCCAAGCAATCCGATCGCTGGTCAATTCAATCAACAGTCAGATGGCTTTGGTGAAGGGATAAGTCAACAAGGGATGTACCAAAATAATTATCAGCGCCCTCAGCATTTACAGCAACAATTTTTTCCGCAACAATTTCTGCAACAACAGGGCCTGCAAAACCAAACAAGCTCTCTTCAAATGCCATATCTGCAACCTCAGGTTCAACAACAATTTCAGCAGCAACAGCAAGTACCTCAGCCGCCACATTTACAGCAACAGCAACAGCAACAGCAACAACAACAACAACAACAACAACAGTTCTTTGCGCAACCACAATCGAATGTGATTCTGCAACCTCATCAACAAAAGGCAACTGCAATAAATATAGATAATATTAACTCAATTTATTGGCAACATCAGATGCAATTATGCCAGCTATCTAGGAGTGCAAATATTCCTCATTATTATGCGAGACAGTATGCTTCAAATTCCAGAAAAACGAAATCCACCTACAATGATATGAAGATGGTTAGTTTGATAAGTGCGACAAAAGCAGCAATGGCTAGCTTGGAAGAGCACGAAAAGTCTTTGAGGGAAGCAACTACAACCCCAGGTAATAATTCTGCCTTGTTACACAACAAAAAGTTAGCCCTTGATGAAGATAGTGAAGAACAAAGAATGAGACAAAAGACTCACGGAAAGCAATTATGGTGCCAATTAGACATGAGTGGTCAAGGCTTGGTTAATTTGTCACCCAAGCTTTTCCAATATGACTTTCTTGAGTCTTTATATATAAATAATAACAAGTTGACGTCAGTGCCACCTATTATAAGTCAATTGAGAGGCTTACGAACTTTAGATTTGTCTCACAACAGACTTACAGAAGTTCCAGGTGAATTAGGGCTCTGTTTCAATTTGAGGTATCTTTACTTGTTTGACAACGAGATAAGAACTTTACCGAACGAATTTGGCAACTTATTTGAATTACTATTTTTAGGAATTGAAGGAAATCCTTTAGATTTGAATCTTGCTAATATTCTCGCTGACAAAGGTACCAAAGAACTTATTGCCTACTTGAGAGATTCGAGACCATCATTGGAAGAACCAAGCCCCAGGCCGTGGTTGGTTTTAGACGATGATATTGAAGTCGCAACATCAATGCCTCCCTCCACGGATGATTCGTTTACCATGATGTCTTACAATACATTATGTCAACATTACGCTACGACTACCTTATACAAGTTCACTCCCTCCTGGGCTCTCGATTGGGAATATAGGAGAAACGAATTACAGAAGGAGATCTTGAACTATGGTAGTGATATATTATGTATGCAAGAAGTTGAAACGAGAACCTTTTTCGAGTTTTGGACTCCGATCTTATCAGAACATGGCTATAAGGGGGTATTTTTTGCTAAAACAAGATCTAGAACAATGGGCGAAAAAGATGCAAAGAAGGTAGATGGATGTGCAACATTCTACAAAACTGACAAATTCACGTTACTTCAAAAACAAACTTTTGAATATAATAGTGTTTGCATGGGATCAGACAAGTATAAGAAGACTAAAGATTTGTTCAATAGGTTCATGAACAAGGACAATGTCGCTTTGATAACATTCTTGCAGCATATAAAAACAGGAGAAAAGCTTGTTATTACCAATACCCACTTGCATTGGGATCCCGCATTTAATGATGTCAAGGCTTTGCAGGTAGGTATTTTGCTAGAGGAACTTCAAGGAATTTGCAAAAAGTTTTACCACTATAGTAATATGGAGGAAATCAAAAACTCCTCTATTATTATTTGTGGTGACTTCAACTCCGTTAAAGACAGTGCAGTCTATCAACTTTTTTCCACAGGTCTGGCATCTAAGCATGATGACTTGGAAGGAAGAGATTATGGTAGATTTACTGATGAAGGCTTCCATCAACCATTCAAATTGAAGTCTGCCTATGAAAATATTGGTGAATTGCCTTTTACTAACCTCTCACCCGCGTTCACTGATGTCATAGACTACATGTGGTATTCCACCTCTACATTGGAGGTAAAGGGTTTGCTCGGTAAAATCGATGAAAATTACGCTAAGCACTGTGTGGGTTTTCCAAATGCTCATTTCCCATCAGATCACATCCCTCTCCTCGCAAAGTTTTATCTTAAAGGAGCTAAGAAGCCGGACTTGAAGCCAGATTTCAAGCCAGATTTTAAGTCGGGCTCTTCGAGAAAGACTTGAATGTATATGTATATTATGATCAGAATTATGTGTTTTTAGAAGCTATTTTTCTGAGTTATTGTTGATTTGATTATTCTGCTTCATATTTAATAACGCCATAACTACTACTTATTTTATGAAGTGTTTTGTATCTCAAGCTGTATAATCTTGGTGTAGATGTAAAAATAATTACCGTATTAAGACTCTATAGTGTCGTCAGACCCTTAAGCTTGGCACATTTACTGAACTTCGGTAACTAGTTTTGTATGACAAATGCCCTGTCTCGAGAGTGCAGCCCCCTTTTACTGAATTTAGGCAAGAAGTTCGTTAATCTGCACCCTGGTAGCAACCGAAAGAGATGCCCTCGTTATTTTCGGGACGGAAATACAGTTTAGATGATCCCGCAGGATTTCCAAAAATAAGTAAGCTTCTTCTCCCAAGCTCTACAAATAGCTTGAAATCTCTAAACTAGTCAATTATTCCAATAAGAGGCCTGTGCTGGTACTTTCTATTGATAGCTACTTTTTTTTTGGATTGAAGGTGCAAAAAAAAACAAGATGATATCTACATTTAGATCTCTAATCTTATTCAGCTTCATATTTCTTTGGCTATGGAAACCAGCTTACGCCATTGATTGGCCCTGGGATGATAACTCTAGTTCAAGCTCTGGTTCAGCCTCTGCGGCAAGTTCAAGTTCAAGCTCCAGCTCTAGCAAACCTACAGACTCATATCAGCCATACGAGACATCTTGCCCGTCTCATGACCTTGTCAGAGAAGCTAAGAATATATCTTCAGGAGAAAGGGATTACATTAGTGAAAGGTATGAGAAAACAAATGAGAACATCATCGAATTCTTAGACAAAAAGGCCAATCTCTCGGATTTTGATGCAGAGAGCTTTGTAAATAGAATGTCTGATGTTCATAACATAACAATAGGACTTGCATTTAGTGGAGGGGGTTATCGTGCAATGCTTTGTGGGGCTGGCGAGTTGTTAGCATTAGATGACCGTTATGAAAAATCAACCCAACTAGGTGGCATCTTGCAGAGCGCAACATACTTGGCAGGTCTTTCTGGTGGAAACTGGTTAGTTGGAAGTTTAGTTTTAAATGACTGGTTATCAGTCGCTGACATTATAGATGATGGTTCGAACATTTGGGACTTAGATGATTCTATCTTTAATCCCAATGGCATTAATGTCATCAAAACGGCTGGATACTATAAGGATATCTCAGATGATATTGATGCTAAGCAAGATGCTGGCTTCGATACTTCGATCACGGATTTATGGGGAAGGGCATTATCTCACCAATTTTTTAATACCAGCGATGGAGGGGTTAATAAAACTTGGTCAGGGATTAGAGATTTATCAAGTTTTGAAGATCGTGAGATGCCATTCCCGATTGTTATTGCAGATGGTCGTACTCCAGGTAAGATGCTCGTCAACGGGAACTCTACGATTTTTGAGTTTAATCCATATGAGCTCGGTTCTTGGGATCCATCATTGAACTCTTTTGTCGACGTCAAATATATTGGAACAGAATTGAAGGAAGGCGACACGAATACCTCTAAGTGTATCGTAAATTACGACAATGCAGGATTTGTTATGGGTACATCCTCAAGTCTTTTCAACGAAGCTATCATTGAAGTTGCAGATTCAAGTATTAATTCAGTTATCAAAAAAGTTCTTCAAAAGATATTGAATAAAATCAGTGTTAGCGAAAATGACATTGCCCCGTATACTCCAAACCCATTTTATGATATAAGTTATGGTAACACTGATGCGATTGCCGACAATGACACACTTACGCTTGTCGATGGTGGTGAGGATGGTCAAAATGTGCCTCTTTATCCTTTGATACAAAATAGTCGTAGTGTCGACATTATTTTTGCTTATGATAATTCTGCGGATACGGATCAAAATTGGCCCAATGGTACTTCTTTGATTGAGACTTACCAACGTCAATTTACTGAGCAAGGAAAAGGGACCCCATTTCCTTACGTTCCTAATACAGGAGAATTCCTTGAACTAACGGACAGACCTGTCTTTTTTGGTTGTGATGCTTCTAATTTTTCAGATCTAATTGAATATCATGACAATGATCAGATAAATGCAACTGATATCCCATTGGTTATTTATTTTGCAAATACTAGATATTCGTACAATTCGAATACTTCTACTTACAAGATGTCGTACACCAATAAAGAGAAAATGGGTCTTATTGGCAACGGATTTGAGGTTTCTACTAGAGCAAATCTCACAGATGATAAGAATTGGGCAACATGTGTAGGCTGTGCAATTATAAGAAGGACGCAGGAAAGGTTAAATGAATCTCAATCAGATGAATGCAAAAAATGTTTTCAAAAATATTGTTGGAAAGGTTCAGAGAAGGATGCAATAAGTGCATCTGCTACTGTCATGGGTCCCTCGTCGACTTCTAAGTCGTCGTCTACGTCTAAATCCTCGTCATCGTCAACGTCATCTTCAAGCCCCAAGAAAGGTGATGCCAGCTCGTTGAAATCATCGCTCTCTAGACTTTCGTTCTTTGTTATTTCTTTCACCATGGCATTTTCAGTTTTGCTCTTGTAAGAATATGTTAATAAGAAATAGACATTATAAAAACACTTAAAAGATGGTTATTCTCTATTATTATTGTTGATCTATACATCCTGTATATAATCAAAGCCATCGCTCTCATAAATTTTTTTATTTTATCGCAGAAGACTGGTGTAAAGTATAACCTGAAAAAGTAGCAGTTGTACATAAGAATGGTTAGATCATACGACCGTTTCGAGCAGGAGAAGTCCTTTGGAGTGATAACATCCAATTCGAATATAGTATATTTGCCTCCCAACGATGATGACAAATCTAAGTTGATTGGAAAAGCTATAACTTCAGCTCTCGAAGACATTTTAATCTGGGATATAAAGACTGGGGATATAGTTGCTCGGCTTAGTGATGGGTTGACACCGGGAGCATCAAATGCCCCAGTGAATCTGGCACCGGCCACGGTGACATTCTTACTGCATCATATGGAAACTAATATTCTTGCTGCAGGCTACAGCGATGGCACAATAAAGATATGGGATATAGCCTCTGCTTCAGTAGTGATCTCATTTCAAGGGCATGTATCTGCGATAAGCATTTTGAAGTTTGACAGAAGCGGAACGAGATTGGTGTCTGGCTCTTCTGATTCTAGCATTATATTATGGGATTTAGTAGGCGAAGAAGGTTTATTCAAGTTAAGCGGCCATAAAGGACAAATTACGGGCTTGAATTTTCTTTCACAAGATTCTGAAGTTTTGGATAAAGATGAGCTAGAGGATTATATACTAAGTGTTTCGAAAGATGGCTTGATAAAGCTCTGGGATTTAAGAACTCGTCAATGTGTAGAGACTCATCTAGCGCATTCCAGCGAGTGCTGGTCATTAGGAGTCATGAATACTCAAACATTTGCTGTCACCAGTGGAAATAAGGACCAAGTTAAGATTTGGACGATTGATCTTTCCAAGCCAGATACCCAAAAACTTGTTGAGAGAGGCTCCTTCGAAAAGCAAAGTAAAGCAAGATGTAATGACATTGGCTTTAACATCTTCAGGGACCTTGTTCTCTTTTATATTCAAAATGCGGATAGAACAATAGAAGTATATAGGATAAGGTCAGAATCCGAATTGAAAAAAGGAATAGCTAGAAGAAGGAAAAGGCTCCAGGAAAAAGATTACAGCGAAGAAGAGATCATTCAAGCATTAAAGGACTCTGAAATCAGTATGATGGTGACGTCTTTTACCACTATCAGGTGTAACTCTAAAATAAGATCGTGCACTTGGATTAAATCCGGCAACAGAAAGATAGATATCATGGTCTCTCTTTCTAACAATCAAATTGAATACTACACATCCCAAATACCAGATAATTTGGCAACTTCTGCAGTATATCTGAGTAAGCTGCTTTCAATTGATCTTCTTGGTCATAGAACTGACATAAGGTCAATGGACATTTCTTCTGACGATCGTCTATTGGTAACATGTTCTAATGGTGAATTAAAAGTTTGGAACTTGAGGACCTTTAAGGTTATAAGAAACATAACTTTAGATAGCGGATACAGTTTGTGTTGTAAATTCCTTCCTGGTGATACATTGGTTCTAGTGGGATTTAAAAATGGGTCTTTGGAATTATATGACTTAGCGACATCTCAATTAGTTGATCGAATCGAAAATGCGCATCAATTGAATGGTACTGGTGAAGCAATTTGGTCATTAGATGTAACTTCTGATGGAACGAAGATTTTGACTGGTGGAAATGATAAATCTGTTAAGTTTTGGAAGTTACAAGCGGGAGAGGAACATATTCCTGGATCTAATTCTTCTGTACCTTCATTGAAGCTTTCGCATTTCCAAACTCTTGAGCTTAATGAAGATGTTTTATGTATCAAAGTTTCTCCTGATTCAAGGCTTTTGGCAATCTCTTTGTTAAACAATAATGTTCAAGTGGTATTTCTAGATTCGTTAAAGTTGTTTTTGACTTTATATGGTCACAAATTGCCAGTGCTTTCTATTGATATATCTTCCGACTCTAAATTAATCATTACTTCGTCAGCTGATAAAAATATAAAGATTTGGGGTTTGGATTTTGGAGATTGTCATAAATCAATCTTTGGTCATCAAGATTCAATTATGAATGTCAAGTTTATACCTCTGAGCCATAATTTCTTTTCTTCAGGAAAAGACGGATTAATTAAATATTGGGATGGAGATAAATTTGAATGCATTCAAAAGTTGCCTGCTCATCAAGCCGAGGTTTGGTGTCTTAGCATCAATAGTGACGGGTCATTTTTTGTATCTACCTCTCATGATCATTCGATTCGATTGTGGCAAGCAACAAATGATCAGGTATTCTTGGAAGAAGAAAGAGAAAAAGAAATGGAAGAAGTCTACGAGGATACTTTATTGGAATCACTTGAAGAACAGAAACACAAAGAAACGGACGATGAGACAGACGAAGCTACAAAAGTTTCAAAGCAAGCAACTGAAACCCTTAAGGCAGGTGAGAGACTTATGGAGGCTTTAGATATTGGAGCTGAAGATTTGGATTCCATCGCTGAGTACGAGAATGCTCTTAGTCAGTACAAGAGTAAGAAAACCTCAGCACCACCGTCAAAGCCTACCCCAAATTCACTACTTCTTGCATTGGGAGTGCTGGGCCAAGAATACGTTCTTTCAGTGATATCAAAGATAAAGCCTTCACAGCTAGATGATGCCTTACTTGTATTGCCGTTTTCTTATGTCCTAAAGTTACTAAGGTTTATCGAAATTTGGACGTCTAAAGAAAAAGCCGCTAGCAATGTCATCAGTATGTCTTTGATTTGCAGAGTACTCTTCTTTATTATCAGAACGAATGCAAGAGAACTTGCAAGTCAGAATGATCCGCATCTTAAAACACAATTTATAAATTTAAAAAACCAGCTCGCCAAAGAACTATCCGGAAGCTTAAATCAATTAGGTTTCAATACCGAAGGTTTAAAGTTCATCAAACAACAATGGAAGCTCACCCACGAGTCAGAGTTCATTGATGATACCGAGCAAAGAGAATATGAGGAAAAGAAAGCTGTGAAGAGAAGCTTCACCACTATTTAAGATAACTGTGTATATTAACTAGAGTCCGAACACGGCTGAAAATTTCAACATAGATAGATTATTCTGTATTAAACAAAGCATACGAGATCCATTTCGTCAATCACCACTAATAGATATCACCTTCTCTTAGACTAGCTCATATTTGTCCCTAATTTTAATTAAAAATCCTTTCCACAATAAGAATTTGTGTTTAGAGATTGTTTTAGTGTTTAAGAAATAAGAGGGGATTTTTCTTTTTTTGGATCCCGTAGTTTCTATGCAACGGTGAAACCGATATTCCACCAGAATTTTGATATTCCACAAATCTAACTACGTGATCCACACTCCGATTGTCACGGCTAGGAGACACTGACACATATAGCTGATAACTCGTGGATATAGGTAGGATTTGAATTGTTTCTTCACTAGTATATATTTTTTTTCTTTTTGAGATCATTTTGCTTAGGTTGTTCCCTGAAGTGTCTCCCTAAAGAAAATTGTTAATTATTTGAAGAACGTATCGGTTAGGAGGGATTGCGAGTATGAATAACATTCATCAACAGCAAAACATGAACTCATGGCATGCCATGTATTCAGTAACTGATAGACAAAAAGTTGTACAAATACTATCTAGTACTTTAAAAGATATACAAGGCGCTAGTTTCGATGCTGAAAGAGCAACAGCCATGGCTCAAGAATACGAGAAATTTACGTTTGTGAAGTCACAGAGCAGAGACGAGTACTTGAGGCAGATCAAACAAAAGGTGTCGCAGCTTCGAACGGGCCAAAGAAATCCTGCCATGGGAATGTTGCCAAACATGAATATGGGCAACATTAATCAACCAAAGCAGCCACAGGCCCAACAGCAGCAAAATCAACAGAATGGAATGAATCAACAAAACATGAACTTTATGCAGCAGCAGGTTCAAGCTAGACAACAGGCCGCCGTTCAAATGCAAGCGCAAATGAGAAATAACGGGATTTCCAATCAGCAACCTTCAGGCCCACAGATGGCAGCTCTGCAACAAATGATGCAATCAAATCCCCAGCAAGTTCAGCAGATCAGCAACATGATTAGGAATGTACCTATTCCTCAAACCCTCTTGTCGAAAATTCCGAATTTACCACTCAATGTTAATACGTGGGCCCAAATTTTCGATTGTTTTCAGAAGAAGATCATTCCAGCAAATGTGATGCCATTGGTTAAAGATATACACAACACCCATATCCAACTTGCCTATCGCCAACACCAACAACAAAAGCTAAACCAAATGCAAAGAATGAATCAGGGGCAAAACCAGATTAATCCAAATCTGCAGACAGCCCAGAGAGGAAATATGAACGTTAATGGGGCTATAGCTGGAACAAATACTACGCCAGTAATGAATAATATGGCAGCTTTCAATATGAAAGCTTTGAGTCCTCAACAAAAACAGCAGTTATTGCAAAGGCAAATGCAACTGAGAAATGGGATTCCTGGTCAACAAGCAATAATGACCCAAAATCAAAATCAAAGTCAGAATCAAAATCAAAATCAGCATCAACAATCATCGCCTCTGCTTCAACAAAGGCAAGTGCAACAACAAGCACACCCACCACAGCAACAACCCCAACAGCAACAACAACAATTCGGTAACTCTCAAATCAAGCCACCGAATTTTCAAATCACACCCCAGGATATTATGAAATACAGTTCTGACGCTTTGGCATTACTTTCAAGATTGCAAGCCACTGGATCAATTCAAGGTAATTTAGACCAATCTCAGAAAGAAAATTTTATTCGAAAATATATCGTTCATCAAAAGACACAATCATGGAGACAGCAAAACCCAAATAGAGGTAACGACATGGGTGATTCTGGTAATATCATGGCTGGTAATGGAATGCAAATGCCACGAGGGATGCATGGTCAAATTCCCCAGAAACACACCCCAGTACCTCAATCAAAGCCAAATCAGACTTCACCGTTATTAAAGAACATGGGAATTAATGGTCAACAAGTCATGAACAATCAACAGGTTCCTAACATTTCTCCAATGATGCAACAAAGAGCTCCCCCTAATCAGATACCCCTATCAAATAATGGTAATGGTAACGGGAACAACAAAAATGGGATGAACTATATGGGGCAACAGGGTCGATCAGGAACAAATGTACCTCCAGGAATTGCATCTTTATTACCGCCTTTGACAGATGAGATGAAAATGAAGTTGTGGCAAATGATTGAAGAGGTCTCACGCAATAATATTGCCTTGAAGGATGTGACAATGATGTTATCACCTCAAGACAAGAATACTGTTCGCGAAACAATGAGCAGGATATCCCAGCAATATGCCAATGTTGATAGTATAATCACTTACTTTTTTATAATCACCAGAAATAATGAAGGAACAAAAAGATTAATTCAGATGAAATATATGACTAAAAATATCATGGAAAGCTTACAAAGGGGTGTATACTTGGCATCACCAGATCTATTAGAAAAGTTGAGGTCTCAGTACCAAAAATATTTTGATTACGTCAAGGAGCAGTTTGCGGGAAGAAGGCAACAAATGCAAAATCAGCAACCTAATGTACCTCAACAAACACAACACATTCCACAATCGCAGCAATTAAACCAGCAGCAAATACCTATGGCTCAGGGACAACCCCAATACATGAACAATCAAGCTAGAAATGGGCCAGTTCAATCGATGATGAGTCAGGCTCCTCAAAGAACCCCCCTGCAGATGCAATCAATGAATCTTAACCAAAATACTCCATGGCCCGGAGCAGTGAATTCGAACCAACCTTCCAGACCGGCAACTAATAGCAGTCCATGGATGCCTCAAGCTTCACCGCCTATGCAAGCTGGTCAAACACCGGCACCAATGCCTCAAAAACAAATTCCCAAAACTACGAATAATCAGAATAAGAAAACCAGCAATGCTCCTACTCCATCAGCATCTAGGAAGAAAGCAAATAAAGGAACTTCTCTGGTTGGAGGGATACCTACGCCCGCCGGCAATACTTCTACTCCAAGCTCAATGGCGAATGCTATCAAAACTCCCAATAGCATACCAACTCCACAGATTGGACAAATTCAAAGTAATAAGAATACCCCAACAGGAAATTCACCTTCAAGTTCAAAAAATGCATCAGCATATGCTCAAAATAGTGTCGATGTTTTCATTCATAGTGAAACTGATAGTAGGTCTTCGAAGAGGAGAGAACTTTCGAAATCAAATCCGGAAAAGTTTTTCTTTGCATCTATGGCAAATCTTCTAGAATTAGATGATTCTTCACTAGAATCAATCAGACTGCGATCGCCTGGAGTACTCTCAAAAATATCTAAAGATCAGCACTTTGTTAAGTCACCTCTATCGCCTGCTTCAATGTCTTCCGAGTGGTCTTGTGAGATCAAACCATTTGCTATAGTGTCGTCGTTTCGACAAGTTGATACAATCAAAGACTTTTCAACGATGGACGTGATAAAGGCATGCGCTGAAACTATTTTCGAGGAAACAAAGCAACAAGGAAATGGAATTAAACGTGAAAGAGATGACGAAGAGAACTTACTGGAAGAAAAGAAGTTGAAAGTTGATAAAAAAGATTTCAGGTGTATGTATGAACCAGTTGATTTTGATACTTGGAAGGACTTTATTGTAGCTGATGGAAAATGAGCATCTCTTACTGATATCTTTCATTGTTCTCAAAAGGGCCAGATAGAGTATTGTATAAATCGTGTATATGATGTATATTTAATTTCTTAAAATCAAACTCAATGAGATTATACAGGCTTTAAGTATTTATAGAGCTGATAGATTGATTACATTTCAGACACCGTATTATTAAAGAGAATGGCAGCCATATCATCGTCTGAAAATAAGCAAATATCTGTTGCATTTGTTTGTCTTGGAAATATGTGAGTAAAAAAGAAATAATTACCATCATCTTGTGTGAAATGTTGCCCAAACAAATGATTTAATAGCTAGGGTTCCTTAATCTTCTATATTGTTTCTGGTACCGTTACTAACACATTAAGATGTCGCTCCCCTATGGCAGAGGCGGTTTTTAAACACGTAGTCGAAGAAAAGGGGTATTCAGAGTATTTCAGTGAAATTGAATCATTTGGAACTAGTGGTTGGCACGTTGGCGACAGCCCTGATTCAAGAACAGTTAAGACTTGCCGTCACTATGGCGTGCCAATATCCCATAACGCACAACAAATAACTCCTCGAGAGTTTAGAAGATTTGACTACGTTATTGCCATGGATGAGTCCAATAAATCAGATTTACTTCATATGAAACCCAGAGATAGCAAGACCCATGTGGCTATGTTTGGAGAATGGGGAACAGATCCCAGATATGGAAAAGTGATAACAGATCCGTATTATGGGGGGATTAATGGTTTTGAAAGGTGCTATCAACAGTTGAACCATTTCAGTGAAAACTTTTTAAACAAAGAGATTGGAGAGCTCTAAGTTATCAGAGATAAATATTCATTTAATAGGTTGTCCATAGCCACCTTGGTAACACTATTTAAGTATTTGAAAGTAGACATTAGAGACTATTTTTATATTTAGAGTTAATGAGTAGAATTGAGAATTTTTAGCGTAAATTAGAGGTCGTTTCAAATTGCACTCACCAACATACAATATAAGCTCTATACTAGCCAAGATCAATTTATAATATAAAATTTTATATAGATTATAATGAGTGCTAGAAAGCTTCAACAGGAGTTTGATAAGACAAACAAGAAGGTAGCTGAAGGGCTATCCCTTTTCGATGATATATACGAAAAATTGATGACAACTGAGATAAGCTCTCAGAAAGAGAAACTCGAAAGTGATTTAAAGAAAGAAATTAAGAAATTGCAAAGATCAAGAGACCTGTTGAAGACATGGCTAAGTGATGGCAGTATAAAATTAGATAAGTCTCTTTTGCAAGATAACAGAACTAAGATCGAACATGCTATGGATCTCTTTAAAGACTTGGAGAAATCTTCCAAAATAAAGCAATTCTCCAACGAAGGTTTAGAACTTCAGAGTCAAAGAACCAAGCTGAACAAATTCAATGATCCTGAAGACGCCAAAAAACACGAAGCGAGCTCGTATGTAGGCGACATCATTGATCAAATAAATCAACAGAATGAGAGTCTTGAGCTGGAATTACATCAACTTGCACTTCAGTTGAAAAAATCGAAATCCTCAAATTCTTATTCAATTCAAGCTTCTATTGATGATTCCAAATATAAAGTCGAAAGGAATAATAGCCACTTAACAAAGTTGGAGAGGATCTTGAGAAATTTAGAGAATGAAAAGTTGGATCCGGAAAGAATTGAAGATATCAAAGATGATCTAGAATACTATGTTGAAAACAACCAGGATGATGATTATGTGGAATATGACGAGTTTTATGATCAATTAGATATAAACGATGACAATTTAGATGTACAAGGTACTCTACTGCATGCAACAAGAGAACTGTCTGTCGATCCGGAAGTAAGAACTGAAGAAACTAAAGAAAAATCAGACTTGCCACTAGGAACTCTGGAAACAGAGCCAGAGAATGTTGATGCATTAAAATCTGAACTGTTAAAATCAGAGCATGGGAACCTTGAGAGTGTTAAATCGGAAGTACCTAAAAGTGAGCAAGCGAAAGCAACAATAGCAAAGCCTGAGACTACTAGAGTAGAACCTAAACCTCTTGCTAGCACAATTGCGACATCTGGAAGTAATACACCGGTAAAGAAGAAGATTGTACCAGCCCCAAACCCTCCTCCATTGACAAATGCTAACTCGTATTCGACTATTATCAAGGCTGCACAAGCTGCTGTACCATCTGGCGGAGCAGAGGTCAATAATTCTGTTGGGACGACTCCTGTAAAAGCTCTCCCGCCTGGACTTAATCAATCCATAAGATCTAGGACTGTTTCACCGCAAGTTTCAACTCTGGTACTTGACACAACAACAGATGGTAGGTTCGCTCAACAAACGGTGCTGCCAAAGATTTCGGGAGATGAGAATTTGTTCGACATAATTCCGAAGATGTCAAATATTTTATCATCAAGGTTGCAAAATCCTATCTCCTTTCCATCCATTGGCCATTTTTTAGAATCATCATTGCTTAATTGTCCAGATTCTTTCGACGCAGAAGTTCCGCGACAATATCAACCGTTGAACATCCACCCGTCTTCAATAGACTATCCACAGGAGCCGATGTATGAATTAAATTCCAGTCATGTAATGAAAAAGTTTGATAACGATACCTTGTTCTTTTGTTTTTATTATTGTGACAATACTGGTTCTTTGGCGAAGTGGAATGCAGCAAAAGAATTGTCGAGCAGAGGTTGGATTTTCAATACTGAAACCAGCCAATGGTTTTCCAAGGATCAAAAGAATGCATCAAAGAATAAACCGTTTGCTGCGTCTCTTAACGGTTCCAATCAGACTAATGATTCTGATAGCGACAAAGACAACTACAAGTACTTTGATTACGAAAAAACTTGGTTGATCCGAAGGAAGGAGAATTATGTATTCGAGAAAGAATTGAGAGAGTCATTCGTATGACTTTTCTCTTATTATCCTATATTTGGGTACTTAATCAGCTCTTTTAATTGCATCCCATATATTGTAAAATAAAGCTAAGTGTCTAGACTTGCAAGTTGGACCTAAATATAAGACGACTGTATATAAAATTAATTTTTAGACGTGAGGCTTTTCCTCATTTTGTTCTCCTACAAGTATTTCAAACATCAGAGATCAACTAATGAACTTCCATTATTACGGAGCTTAAAGATCAGTTACTCATATTAATGTATTGATCTGAATTATAGAAGGTCATATATTTCAAACTTATTACTAAAAGGCTTCTGTGATGTCTCTCACACAAGATATAGACGTACCTACGAAGATCTATCTCTTCGAAAGGGACACTACGTCACTGTATCCTACTGACGATCAAGGATGTTATATATGCCCTTCGAGTATCCCAAAGTGTCCAAAGTGCGATGATGATGAAGAATGTATTCTCGTCAGCTCTTCTTGTAAGAGTTGTCCAACTCCTAGATGTGAAAAGAAAACGGGTAGCACAAGTAGTGGAAAAAGCGTACCGGTGGGTGGGATAGTTGGTGGTGTCTTGGGCGGCGTGGCTTTACTTTTGATAATTGGTGGCATATTATATTGGAAATTTTTGTACAAAAGGCGGCCCCCAATGTATTTAGACGACGATGACATCATGATGGGTGATTTAAAAGATGAAGAGGATGATTATGAATATAATGACGATGAGAACGACTCTAATGAAAACTTAAAGAGATCACCTTCCAGATTTCAAGAAACACAGGTATCCAGACAGCCTAACCCTAGCCGTCCTTCAAATAGAAGAGTATCATCTTACGAGTCTTTTACTAGACCAAGAGCTCGATACGCAAGAGGTAACCAAGGCAGGGCCAGAGCATCAGCGGCGGCAGCACGTAGAAGACAGATGAAACGAGTTCCATCCCTGAACCTCAATAGCGATAGGAATTCTATCGCTACGTCTGTGTCCACGACCAATGCGTCTAATATCTTACCTATCGCATATATACCTGGTGTAACTGTCCGGCCCACAAAAAATAACACTAAATCCATATACTCCTATGACAGTGAGTCGACAATGGACTGGTCGGCTCTTGAAAATGCTTCAATTGTCGGTGATTCGGCTAAGGCAAACAATCAGAATCACCTAGACTCCACTATGGTTGCAATCAAAGCACAGCCAAGACTTATTGATGTTGATAGAATAGAAGAGGAAGATGAAGATATCACGGACGACGAGAACGATACAGGAATGAGAGAAGATTCCTTTGGAACCACTGCTAATTCATCTTCTGATTTTATTAAGAATGACGAGAGTGAGTTTGCAAATATGAACGCGACCACGTTGTCAGATATATCTGATGCCGAAGAAGTAGATGATTCAGATGTGGATTCAGATATCGGAGAAATAGCAAGGGCGACAAGTGTAAGGAGACAAGGCAGTCAGTCACAGAAGGACTATACTTCGCAGGACCGAGAGATTGTATTGGACGTGCACCCAGACGGTGATGAGCAGGAACCCCCACATTTTACCCCCGTGCCAGTACTTAGGCCACAGCAGACAGACGATGCAACTCTACCAGACTCCGGCACTGGGTCTTTTGTTTTAGAAGTAGAGGTTGACGATAATAATGATCCCCAATACCCGCAACAAACAAGCCCCTTTGAAGATCCTATTGACTATAAAAATACGAATATCAAATAATATATCATTAGTTACTTACTCAAGCATTGCATGTTGCATTGAAAGAATGCTACAAAGACCCAAAATTTTATGGAACATATTTGCATTTTTTCTGGATTGTAGCACTTATTTTTTTGTGTCATTTTTGTAGCACTTGATTGCAATATACTGTGAAAGTCTCTTCGATCATATTCGATTAAATTCGATCTGATGAGCTCGGAAAAGGCGTGTCCGTAGCGACAAAGTGGTAGCATAGAAAGCAATTTGCTGGGGAGGCCAAAAAGTTACAACGGTCATCTGGTGGGCAATTTTATTATATGCAGTACGGTATCCCGGGAGACTATTGGCCTAGACCGGGGAGGCAGATTAAAATACCACGTGATAGCAACCACTAGAATGACCGGAGAAGCCCTCGAGAGTAAGAGGATAATTACGCAATTAATAATTAAGCAACGTCGGGCAATACTCAACGAAGACGACAAGGGTTTATATAGAGCAAGCCCAACCTTTCCGTTCCAAAGTTTAATTTTAGTCAATTCGATAATTAAAGAACAATAGTATTTTAAAATGGTTCAAGATATCGATCAATTAGCCATTGCTACAATCCGCTTGTTGTCTGTTGATGCAGTTCAAGCAGCCAATTCAGGACACCCAGGTGCCCCCTTGGGTTTAGCACCAGCCGCTCATGCTGTTTGGAAACAAATGAAGTTCAATCCTAAAGATACCGAATGGATTAACAGGGATAGATTTGTTTTATCCAATGGTCATGCTTGTGCCTTATTGTACTCATTATTGCACTTGTATGGGTATGATTTGAGCATTGAAGACTTGAAGCAGTTCAGACAATTGAACTCCAAAACTCCTGGTCATCCAGAGCGTCTTCATACTCCAGGTGTCGAGGTTACCACTGGTCCATTGGGACAAGGTATTTCAAACGCAATTGGAATGGCTCTTGCCCAAACCCAATTAGCTGCAAAGTTTAACAAACCTGATTTTAAGCTTATCGATTCACATATCTTTGCCTTTTTAGGTGATGGTTGTTTGATGGAAGGTGTTGCCTCGGAGGCCTCTTCTCTTGCTGGACATTTAAAATTAGGTAACTTGATCGCATTTTGGGATGATAACAGAATTTCCATTGATGGGGATACCAAATTTGCATTTACTGAAAACGTTATTGAAAGGTATAGAGCTTATGGCTGGCACATTATTGAAATTGATCACGGTGATACCGACTTAAAGGGTGTTGCAGATGCCATCGAGGAGGCCAAGAAGGTAACTAACCAACCAACTTTAATTAGATTGAGAACTATCATAGGTTTCGGATCTTTAGCTCAAGGCACTCACGGTGTTCATGGCTCTCCATTGAAGCCAGATGATGTTAGGCAATTGAAGGAGAAGAATGGATTCAACCCAGATGAAACTTTCGTTGTACCAAAGGAGGTTACTGAGAGCTTCGAGAAACATGTTAAAGAGAACCAGGAAGTCGAGAAGGCTTGGAACAAAAAGCTTGATGAATATGAAAAGAAATATCCAAAAGAGGGAGCTGAATTTAAGCGTCGTTTATCCGGAAAGTTACCTGATGACTGGAAGAAGGTCTTACCCAGATTCAGCCCAAGCGATAAGGCTATCGCAACTAGAAAGGCATCTGAAGACGTATTGAGTAAACTTTATGAAGTCATTCCCGAATTGATAGGAGGATCAGCAGATCTTACTCCGTCAAACTTGACAAAAGTACCAGGATCTACTGATTTCCAACCACCAGATTTGCAAATCGGTGATTACGAAGGTAGATATATCAGATATGGTGTCAGGGAACATGGTATGGGTGCAATGATGAATGGTATTGCAGCATACGGTGGTTTCAAGACATATGGAGGTACTTTCTTGAACTTCGTTACGTATGGTGCTGGTGCGGCTAGATTGTCTGCGCTTTCGAAACTCCCGGTCATCTGGGTTGCCACACACGATTCAATTGGTTTAGGTGAGGATGGACCAACTCATCAACCGATCGAAACCTTAGCACATTTGAGAGCAATTCCAAATATGTCAGTATGGAGACCTGCAGATGGTAATGAGACCTCTGCTGCTTACGAAAGTGCTATTGAATCAACTTTAACACCACATGTGATCGCTCTTAGTAGACAGAATTTACCTCAATTAGAAAACTCGTCAATTGAAGCGGCACTGAAAGGTGCATACACCATTTATAAACAAGATAAACCAGATGTGATCATTGCTAGTTCTGGGTCTGAAGTCTCAATCTCGATTGAGGCAGCCAAGAAGTTGGAAGGAAACGGAATAAAGGCAAGTGTTGTCTCAGTGCCAGATTTCTTTACTTTTGATAAGCAAACTCAGGATTACAGATTATCCGTGTTACCAGATGGTGTACCAATTTTGTCTGTTGAGGTGATGTCTCCATTCGGATGGTCTAAATATTCTCATGAACAATTCGGATTGACCAGATTCGGTGCATCTGGTAAAGCTGCTGATATTTATAAATTCCTCGACTTCACCCCAGAGGGAATTGCTGACAGGGCCGCTAAGACCGTTCAATTCTACAAGGGTAAGCCTTTGTTGTCACCTTTGAACAGGGCTTTTTAAGGAGTGAATAATTTCAGCACAAGTGAAATGATATAAATTATATATGTCTTAACTAAATGCTTTATTTTAGCTTTGATTGTAAATTTTTAAGATCTAAAATCGAACTACGAAAGAGAGGCTCTACCAGGAACATGATCATTCAATACTTAATGTACATTCAATATGTAACTACTTTTAAACGTTAAACTTCTCGTATTTAAGGGGACATACCTGCAAAAAAGATTACTTAGATGTGTCAACAACGTATCTTCCCAATATCTTACCTTGTTCCATTAATTCATAAATGTGTGGCAATTCAGATAATCCTGCAATCTTGATTGGACACTTAATCAAACCTCTTGAGAAAAAGTCAATTGCTTCAGCAGTATCAGCTCTGTTTCCTACATAAGATCCTCTAATAGAGATAGTCTTGACAACAGAATCAAAAACAGGAGCGATAACGTTAGCACCTGCTGGCAAACCAACTAAAACAACGGTACCTGTTGGTCTAACATATTCAACTGACTGTGACATTGCCTTTTCTGAAACAGATACATTAATAACACCATGAGGGCCACCATCAGTAGCATCCTGAACATCTTTGACGATATCCTTAGATTTAGTAAAATCAATAAATTTCTCAGCACCCAAAGACTTAGCAAATTCAGCCTTGTCAGCACCACCATCAATACCGACGACTCTTAAACCCATCACTTTAGCATATTGAATGGCTAAAGAACCTAAACCACCAGCAGCACCAGAAATTGCAACCCATTGTCCTGGTTTAGCTCCTGACGTCTTCAAAGCTTTGTAGACAGTGACTCCGGCACATAAGATTGGAGCAACTTCAGCTAAATCGGTTCCTTTCGGAATACGAGCAGCTTGAACTGCATCAGCAGTTGCATACTGTTGGAAAGAACCATCATGGGTGTAACCTGACAAATCAGCCTTAGCACAGTTCGACTCATGAGTAGTTTCGCAGAATTCACAAGCCATACAAGAACCGTTCAACCACTTTATACCAGCGAGGTCACCAATTTCCCAACCAGATACGTTCTCTCCCATTCCAACAACGACACCAGAACCTTCATGACCACCGACTAATGGCAACTTTGTAGCCAATGGCCAATCACCTTTCCAAGCATGTAAATCGGTATGACAGACACCGGAATACTTGACGTTAATTAAAATCTCGTTCGATTTTGGTTTAGGAACAGGAATATCGGTGTACTTCAAAGGACCTCCATTGGTCTCAAAAATAACAGCTTTTTGCGTGGTTGGAATAGTCATTCTTCTAGTTGAATTAACGATATTTGCAATTGAGTTTTTATTAAAACTTCTTGTTGTCTTGTAGGAGTTGCGTTGTACAGTTTGGAATATTGCGCTCATATTTATAGTTCGTGATCACAGTTGTTAAAGCGAGCTTCGGAAGACAGTCTCTCAGTCCTGTTTTATAACTGAGAGATCTTTCCCCACTGGGAAGTAAGAGGAGGGTAATTAGGCACGAAATCTAAAAGCCTAGGCTAACACCGATTAACTGACCATGAATTTACCTTTCTTTTTCAAAAATTACCTAATTGCCTTTTTCGCACGATTATCTCGCAGAAGATATGAGTTCGACCTACATGATTACGTTCGTGGCTCCGAAGCTTGGTTTTGTTTATGCATCCCCACTTAGTGCGTTTAACATTTGGAATATCGTTTGAAAGCTCACCCAAAACATGGGGATATATAATATATGTTGCAATGTCCGAAAGGTCTTTCTTGCGCCTTTCGAAGTTGCTCCTCCCCAACACAGCCTAAACATAGTTAATGCTCGGGTTAACGTGCTACTTCGCTTAACGAGATATTCTGCCGTAAGTGACCAGACGAAACTTGCTGATGCGAGGACGGCTAAATGCAGCTTTATGGTTTCCTAATGGCAATCTGCTTGATTCCTTCGACCAAGTGTGTTCCGACACTGGCCAATGTCCGGATAATTCCTAACTCCTCGGACAGTAAATAGAGAGACTGTTGCGCAGGGCACATAACACATGAGCGTAAGTGGACTTAAGAATATATCGTAGTTGTGGAACACTTGAAAGGAAGACTCCAGTATTCGATATTTCATGGCAGAAGAAGGGTGCGGCACTTCAGAAGTTGGCCCAATGAAACTTTTTCGGTTATTAAAACGGCTTTGTTTTGAGAGATGTAGGAAATGGGGAAGCCAGTTAGAAATAGAATTTGTTCAAAACCTACGTTGTTGGTGTCAAGATCCGAAAATATGTGGAGTGTATTTGCAATATATATTCGTATTATTTTTGGCGTAATGCAGAAACTTTAAAAACAGAATACATACTAGTAGAAACTTGTTTTTGGGTCCCATCTTTCATTTTGTATGAACTCAATTAAGGTCCTCGATCCTGTTTGTAGTAATGGGTGGCCACTAACCGTGGTCAAGAATCTCTCTAATCCTTGCCTTCTTCTTTCAATATTCAACTCGTTAAACTTGTTCGAATTTAACAAAATTTTGCCAGGTAAAGGTGGTATCACCACTCTAGTAGTTTCCTGCTCTAATATCTTTCGAAAGACCACAAAGTCAGAGTACCTTCTGCGTACCCGACTATTCCTTTTTTTAAATGCTGGTATATTTGTCTTAAATTAGGTTAGTATGTTCAGTTTGATATTGACGTCTCTTTTCATCAAAAAGGACTTATTGTCAGATACATACTCGACAGACTATTTCGTAATCTGTATACATATCATTACCTATGCCGTGAGTCTGTGGATTTCGAACCTGTTTACGTTAGTACTCAATTATCTGCGTCGACTCGCTTGTGTCAAGGATAGCGTGTTGAAATACATACTTCAATCTCCAAGAAGTTTTCCGGCTCGCCATATATCTCATTGAAGGATTGTGACCCAGTTCTTGGATTTGATGTATTTATGACATCGCTGATGGGTTGGAACGGTTTAGACATAGTACATTAAAACATATAATGCATTAACTTCATTTAATGCATTTCTCGATAAACCCTTACTTTTCATCACACAAATTTGAATACTAGAAAAAAATAAAAGATAAGATTGATCACGTAATACATGTATTTAAATAAGCTAAACTAAACTATTGTTAGATATATTTCTTCGTCTCTTGAAGGACAAATTAACGAAGACGCCTGAATATTAATATAATACTCATAAAGAATCCATAATAAATGAATGAATGCATAACAGAATGATATAAAGTGTTTCAAAATCAGTTCTTTTTTTTTTGTTAGTTTCCAAATACCCCAAAGTTCTTGATTTTTAAATCAATTTTTCCTTTTCCAAAAATCTTTGTTGTGCGTTGATTGTATCAGCATCTACAACAGCATCTTTAATGACGCCTATTCTCATTGAAGCCAATAAATTATGAGCTGCATTAGAATGCGCATACACCGCTCCATTGAAAGCTTTAGTAGCATCTTTTCCTAAAGAGGCTCTAATCAAGGCTTGTCCACCTGGATGTTCCTTAATAAAGGGTTTCACATTATGGACTATCCCTGAAATAATAATTAAACCTTCTTTCTTGGCTCTTTCAGTAAATTCTTGTCTATCCCAGACTGGCAACTCCTCAACCGAAACACCCCAGTTCAATTTGGCCCTCATCCTATCTATCTTCTTTTGTTGCTGTTGGACTAAACCTTGCTCAATAGCATTTGAAGAAAATGTCTTCAAATTCCATGCTAAGCCAACTTTAGATAAAGCCAAAATAAACATCTTAGTAGGATCATATTGGTACCATTTCAAAGCATTACGGTAATCTGATGGAAATTCATGATGAAAGTTATGATAGCCTTCCCCAAATGTTACGAGTGCAGTAACCACATGATCTCTTGGAGTTCTTCTATCGTCAAATGGTTGGACACCAATCCAGTGGGCCAAAGAATTGACACAGAAAGTAGCCTGCTGAATGACGAAAGTCTTTATAATACCGCCATATACAAAACCACCTAAATAATCACCCCAACCTAATCCAGCAATTAAAGTAGGAGCGACAACAGACATCAACAACATCAAAATCAAGTAATGACGGTGTTGAAAGTTGACTACCCAATCACTAGTTAAATCTGAAATGTCAGCCCTAGCTCTGTTTTTAGGATTAGCCTTAACAAGCATCCAGCCCATATGGGAGTAAAAGAACCCTTGTCTCGCATCATAAGGATCTCTTGGAGTATCCGTATATCTGTGATGCACTCTATGGGAATGACTCCACCATTTAATAGAGCCTTCAACAGCTCCAGCTCCAAAAAGTGCATAAAACAACTTAAGAGGTACACCGGTATCATATGCTCTGTGAGCAAAATGTCTATGATATCCTGCCGTGATAGAAACACCACTGAAAATGTAAAGTATTACTCCTAAGATAACAGTCTTCAATTGAGGAGGATGAATATAGGCGACAAAAAAACCAGCAATTGGAACAAATACAACTAATATCATATTTAACCAATTAATATGTTCATGCCAGTTCGAAAGAGTCCATTTCTTCTCAGATATATGCTTAATCTTCGAAAATTTTTCTTTTTCTAATCTATCCTTCTCAGCAAGCAGCTCCAAAGAGTCTTTAGTAATTTCATCAGCAGTAACATTTACTAGAGATTTTGTACCCATCAATCTTCCACCTAATCCTGCTGCCACAACTCTCGGATTCTTTTTATTAGTTCCAGCAGCTAAAGAGTTGAGGGACGTAAGATCCACTTGATCAACTTTTTCAACCTCTGTACTCATATTCAGTTTAATTATATTAATGTCTCAGTCAGGAATTGGTTAATAACAGAAACAGAATACTTTGGAACTATTGAATATAAACTGCTTTTGATTCGCTTCAGAGGTGATCAGTATTCTTTATACTATTTAAGTTCCATAAAAGCTACTGCGGTATCCTGAGATCTACTACATATAAATTGTTGGGTCCCAACTCAGGCTTAGTGTCCGAGGTTACGAATCTTCCCTCGGAAAAAGCTATTGGTCCAAACATTTACTACTAATAAACTCTTTAAAATTGACCGGTAGCTGGCCGGTAGTATTTTTTGCACGTACGGTAATTTCTGAAGAGCACGAGCTTGCTACCAACATTAAACAAAACCGCCATCTGACATTGCTTTACCAAAAGAAATTTGAGCATTATTGGGTGCGCGTTAGGAACGCTGTCCGAGATATTGAATGTCTATGTCGTAGAGGCGGAAATCGTAAATAATGTCGCGAGTCATGACGAGCCATGTCTCTCCAAGTACAGTCATAGTTTCTTAATAGATATTACAATAAGTGGGAGAGACTGCGAGATAAATCGCAGTGGGGAGAATATTGTTAGTATCATTAGATTTTATCACCCGAATAGTGCAGGTAAGTGGGAATTTATCGGAAAGTTCTAATTGACACAAAGATAAATCTGACAATTTAAACGCATTTGTATAATATAATAGCAATTTGTTTGGTCAGACGTTCCCCAGGTTCAAAAATACATTGAAGTTGATTAGGTGTAGATATAACTACCACATCTGGACATTGAACATACTATAGTTAAGAAATTATTACTAAGTTTGCACAAATTAGATGATGCCTAACCATTCATCTTTTCTGAGGCAGTCACCCACTTCACCTTTACATACGGCGGGTGGAACTGGTGGTGGTCAACAACCACCATCAAGGAAGCCATCAATTGTTGAAATATTGAGCTCACCTCCTCCATTACCTATGAATACACCAGATCATGAGGACGTGCATAGCTTTAGCCTTTCGAGAAATGCATCAGTAAGTTCTAGAGCATCGTCTGTCGCTACTGGTAGCACCCATAATCAAGTCGTAGGAACCAATGGATTAGATTGGTATGATATTCCGCTTTATGATTTGGCTGAATCTAATAAATTGATTTCTATAAACTCGAGTTATTCTGTTCAACGAGCATTTCAAACTTTAGTAAAACATAACCTTACAAGTGTTCCGGTCTCCTTATCGAAGGATAACTCTGATGATTTGACTAATTGTTTGACGTTTGACTATAGTGATTTGAATACTTACTTGCTTTTAATTATGAATAGGATCAACCTCGGAGACTTGGCGGTAAATGAGATAGGTGATCCATCTTTGTCGCCAAAACAGAAGCATGATTTAGTGTTGCAGACAATAAATAAAGCAAAGAGAGGAGAAGAAGTACCAGTTGACTTCATTGTACGGTTACATCCCAAAAATCCATTTGTTAAATTCTATGAATCGGAAACCCTTTTCAAAGTCGTTGAGGTACTTGGAAGCGGCGTTCACAGAGTAGCCATAACTGATGTTGGAGGTAAAAATATTGTAGGCATTTTATCTCAAAGAAGACTTATAAAATATTTGTGGGACAATGCCCGTAGGTTTCCATCTTTAGAATTTTATTTGAACTCAACATTGCAGGATTTGCAAATCGGATCCAGCACTCCAATAACCATTTACGAAGACCAAATGTTGATCGAAGCATTACATAAGATGTTCAACGAAAGAGTAACTTCACTTGCTGTCATAGATAGAGCAAAGTCATTGATAGGGAATATATCAATTGTGGACGTGAAGAACGTTTCGAGCTCAAAGGAGTCACATCTTTTATTCAAATCAGTGTTGAACTTTATTAGTTACAATTTGTCCCAAAAAGGGATAGACGAGGGTCAAGATCAATACCCTATATTTCATGTGAACACGCAGTCTTCTCTTGGCAGAGTGATTGCAAAGCTCGTGGCCACTCAGTCTCATAGGTTATGGGTTGTTGAATCAAGGGTGCAGCATAATAGCTCAGTGAGCTCTTCGTCGAGTTCAACTCCGTTGGCTACGCCTACGACAGTCGAAGCAGCCCTAAACCAACCTCCCTCTGCTAGTAACGAACCCATGGGACTCCCAGGAAAATTGATCGGTGTTGTAACTTTAACTGATATTTTAGGCTTATTTGCCTCTTTAAAAGGGAAGAAAACAGATCCGCTTGCCGCTAGAAATCAAAGAAGACGCTCTTCAACTTCAACTAGGTCCAGCTTTGAAGCACCAGCTAACGCTAATCAAGAGATGTTCAGAAAAGCATATGTTTCGGACACTAAGAACGAAAGTGTATTTTCGAAGGATTAACTTGTCAACAATTCCATCGGGATTACAAGCAATTTCGTCAAAATTATTCATCTGTAATGACAACACAAAGATAGGGGCGTAATCCATATAAATAGAGTATCGGATATGAACTTATTATATATCTACTATAATCTACATTTCTTGTATGTCCTAAATCAATAAAGCTCATACAGGTAAGATATTTGTCCGCAGAAAATCACTGTTGATAGGTTCATATCACAAATGAACCTTTCGAAAGGTACGAGCTTGAAGGATTTTCAGCTGACACTGTATTATTGGAAGATTCAGTGACCTACTTTTATGAGGCGGATCTCCTATGATAAAAGATTAACTTTTTTGCCACCATTATGCAACTGTATTTGCCTAAGTAATAGTCTTGGTCACGGCGTATATTTCAGTACACGTGGAACAATTCAGAAGGAAAAAATTTTTTTTTCTGCGCTCATCTCCCACTTTAGTTTTAGATATAAATTACCTATCCCCTCTACCATAAATTTAGGTAGCAGCTTTTTTTGTTTTTTAGATAACTATCTTAGAACTGTTAATTATTCAACAT